GCAAAAAACTTAGCAAGGAGCGAGGCATTTCGAGATGTATTTATTCACCCAGACCGCACGGTAATGCAGAGGGAACAGCACAAGAAGCTCCTGCTGGACTTGAAGCAGAAGAGGGAGGAGTCGAGAAGGAACGGGGACAGGTGCACATGGGTTATACTCAGGGGGAGGGTAGTGGAAACAAGTGTGCCGACACAGGGCCAGGGGGCAGCAGTGCACCCTCCACCCACTCAACCCCCCACCCGGGAGGCGGCACCGGCTCAGCCTACCGGACAGGAGGGAACGAGCGCCGTGTAAACAATGAAATTTTTAACCACACCCTGCAAAATACAGTGTACTTAGCAAATGCTGCAGCTTCTGAGAATGTGGGTGGAGCGGGTTTATTACTAAGAGCAGAGACGTTACCGAGAACAAATTCTGGCTTGAATGTCATGTACACTAATACCGACACGTTCCTTGATAAGAGGGAGGAGTTTGAAACACTACTAAGAGTACACCAACCAGATATTGTAGGAGTTGTAGAACTGTTGTACAAGAACAGGAGAATCGACCCAGAGGAATGTGAGTTCAGTATTGCTGGATATGACTCATTTACGAACCTAACTCAAGAATCCTGCAGGAGGGGCGTGGTTATCTACGCTAGGCAAGACCTTAGAGCCAGCCAGGCGAGGGTACAGGGAGAGGATGTCTTTGAAGAGTCCAAGTGGTGTAAAATTAAATTAAAGGGAGGGGACTTACTTATCGTCGGGTGTATCTACAGATCCCCGAACTGTGGCCCACTAAATCAAAGGAACTTAAGAACCTTAATAAACAATGCGGCGATGCTCAACCCCAGCCACCTCCTTATCATGGGGGACTTTAACTATGGCGACATCGACTGGAGAAACGAGTCAACCCCGAATGACTTGAATAATCCTGCTACTCTTTTTGTAGAAACTCTGAGAGATAATTTTCTGTTCCAACATGTGAGAGACCCGACACATTACAGAGGGGAGCAAACACCCAAGCCACTTGACCTCATCATAACAAACGAGGAGGGTATGGTGGCCAAACTGGAACACCTTGCCCCAGTTGGCACCAGTCACCATACAGTGTTGTCATTCAGATTTAACTGTTACCTAGTTCAAGATAAGGCCAGGCCAAGGTGCAAATATTACAAGGGAAATTACAATGGGATGAGGGAAGAGATGAGGGGTATCAACTGGCCTGACTTATTAAGGTACAAGAACGCAGACACTACGCTGAATATCATAACTAGTAAAATGACCCATTTGATCGATAAATATATACCCAAGACCAAACCCAGTGCTTCTAGGAATACGAGGGGATCCCTACACATGAACCATGCGGCGGTCGACAAAATTAAGAAGAAAACCCAGAAATTCAAGACGTGGGTTGGGTCAAACGATGAGCAAGACAGGAGGATGTATGCAAGAGCCAGAAACCAAGCAAAGATAGAGTGTAGGAGGGCTGAAAAGGAGTTCCAAAGGCTGGTTGCACGCGAGGTCAAGTCAAACCCAAAGGCGTTTTACCGCTATGCAAAGTCGAAATTGAAAACGCGAGTAGGAGTATCAGACCTGAGGCTTGAAGATGGTAGTTACGCAGATTCTGACCAGGATAAAGCTGAGGCATTGAACAGCTTCTTTTCCTCAGTGTTCACAAGAGAGGATGCAACTAACCTTCCTGCGTTTGAGGACAGACGGTTCGACACAGCACTGACCCACATTGTGTTCACAGAAGAGGGTATTAGAAATAAACTGTCCAGGCTAAAGGTCCATAAGAGTCCTGGACCTGACATGGTGCATCCTAGAGTGCTAAGGGAGCTGTGCAACGAGCTTGCAGAGCCCCTGAAGATTCTGTTTTGTAAATGCCTGGATGAACAAATGGTCCCCAGTGAATGGAAAGTGGCTTATGTGAGTCCTATCTTCAAGAAGGGCGATAGGCACTCCACGAACAACTATAGACCGGTGAGCCTGACCAGCATAATATGTAAAGTACTTGAGAGTATTATCAGAGATGCAGCGATGGAACATCTACTACGAAACAACCTTGTAAAAGATTGCCAACACGGTTTTATGCCGGGGCGCTCTTGCTTGACACAATTGCTCAAGGTATTGGATATTTGGACCCATATTCTAGAACGGGGTGGTAATATCGACAATATTTACCTAGATTTTGCCAAGGCTTTCGACAGTGTACCCCACGAAAGGCTGAAAATCAAACTGGAAGGGTACGGAATTCGGGGAAATGTCCTAGCGTGGATAGAAGACTTTCTACATGACCGCAAGCAATGTGTGGTGATTAATGGCACGAAATCGTCATCTGTACCTGTAACAAGTGGGGTACCGCAGGGTAGTGTATTGGGCCCGCTGTTGTTTGTTTGTTTCATAAATGATATGCCTGACGTTGTACACTCCTCCATACAAATGTTTGCCGATGACGCCAAGTTATTTCGGGAAATTAAGAACCAAGCGGACTGTGAAGAGCTGCAGAAGGACCTCTGTGGGCTCCAGGAATGGTCGAAGGAATGGCTGCTGAGATTCAATGTCACGAAGTGTAAGAGGATGCACCTGGGGCGTACCAACGGTAAGGAGGCGTACCATATGTCCCAACGGGATGAAGAAAATGTACTAGTTGAGACTGTGTGTGAGAAGGACCTAGGTGTGTATGTTGACAATGAGCTGAAGTTCTCGGGCCATTGTGAGAAGAAGGTAAATCAGGCAAATAAATTATTGGGTCTTATAAGAAGGTCGTTCAGATATCTAGACGGTCCGTCCCTCGTGACGATCTTCAGGAGTGAAGTGCTTCCCCATCTGGAGTACTGTCACCCCATCTGGTCCCCGAGATATGCTAGGGACTGTCAGTTGGTTGAAAATGTTCAAAGGAGGGCCACCAAGCTGGTGCCTGCACTTCGGCATCTCAGCTACCCTGCGAGATTGGAGCGCCTGAACTTGCCTAGCTTATACTACAGACGGGCAAGGGGGGACCTAGTTGAGGTTTATAAGCATCTCAGGGGGCACTACTCAGTTGAGTGTCCTTACTTGGAGCTGGCGGACGCTCGCCCCACAAGGGGTCACAGCTCAAGATTGAAGAAGCCGCAAGTCCGGAAAACCGTGAGGGCAAACTTTTTCGGAGTGAGGGTTGTAAACTCTTGGAACAATCTACCAGAAAGTGTTGTGACGGCACCGAGTGTGAGCTCTTTCAAGAGAAGACTTGACCAACACTGGAGCGGGTTCAGGTACATTCAGGAGCCGGTGCATGCCCAGTATTTGCCAACAGTGCGTGACAGAGACGTGACCGATCGCCCGGGCGGCTAGCGAGCCGACCTTTTGGTGAAGAATATAAAGGAAAAGAGTCGTGACCGATCGCCCAAGCGGCTAACAAGCCGATCAGTGGCGAAGAGGATAAAAGTAAAAAGTAAAAGTAAATAATATTAAAGCCATTAAACTTAGTTTATTAACATTAACAAGTCCACTGCGCATCAGTGTCACACCAAGGACTCTGAGGTTATAGGATGATAGCTCACTCCAGTGGGCGAACGAGTTCCCCACCCCCAATGTGCCGCCGCCGGCGTCAAGCAGCCGGAAAGTAAACAAAATAATTACCAAATCTGTAAGGAACAAAAACCTGTCATTCTTTCAGTTTCCAAACGATCCAGAGAGGTGGGTCGTACACCTACTTTTGTCACTGTTGATTGTTCAATAGTTTTCATGAGCCCTTTCTTTATTTAATGCATTTAGTACCATGGGCGTCCGCAGAAAAAAAATGCAGGGGGGGGCAATGTTATCCTGAATTCGACGTGTGAAGTGTGAAGACATCTTTTTGCTAAGATTACTGTAAATAACAGAACAAAATGCGCAGGGTGAAGACCTGGTTAAGATCAACGATGAGTGATAAACGTCTGTCCGGCCTCTGCATGCTAAGTGTCCACCGCGACAAAGTGAACAGCCAGAAGACCGAGCTAATGAACAGGGTCATTGACAATTTCGGAAGAGATCCCCGACGGCTCCAATTCCTGTTCCAAGAGTAGTAACCTGCTCTAACTGAATGAACTGTTGAGAAATGTTTATGTTATTTTATTCATTTTGTATTTTCCATGTAATTTTTTCAAATTTTTTATTTTCCAGGAGGGGGCAAATGCCCCCCCTTGCCCCTCCCTGCGGACGCCCATGTTTAGTACTGATACCGTTCCACTCTTAAGAATTGCTAGTTGACATCAGAGTATCATTAGGATATACTGTATAAAATGAACAGGATATTGTAGTCTGTAGTATTGTCGAAAATATAAGCTGGAAATTTGAAATTTTGTGTCATTATTCGTGTGTCATTTCGGTTAAAAACAAGCTGTTAAGAATCGGTAAAGTACAACCACTGTATATTTTGTAACCTAAACAAAGCTGAACTGTATACCTGTATGCAGTACTTGCATAATTTATATACATGGCAATTTCAATGACTAAATAGTATTATTGCTATCATTCCAACTGCGAATAATGTAGCCTGGATCTTCAAACTTTTTCCACTGTAGGGGCCTAATTTTAAAACTTAGTCTTAAATTTCCAGCAATACATTGGTTGCTGAGTAGTTTTGAATTTCTACAGTACCTAAAAAAATCGTTGATCATCAATAAACTAGCGAGCACAATCTAGTATAAGATGTGAAAAAGTGGTGTCACTGCCAACTGTTACCAACTTGCAAATACTGTACTGTATTTTACCGTGACGCATAAATAAAGGATCAACTGAAGATTAGACATTCCATCGGTACCCCCAATAGAAGACAGACATGTCAACGAATTATTCTAGTCGGTGACATCGAGACATGAAAACAACACCGCTGTGAGTCGTTCACCTGCGCTCCGAAGCATTAAAACCGGGACCCCATACCAATTCATCGCGAGTCTCGAAACCCCAGGTCAGTGAGCGGCCTGGGTGGAGCCAGCTGGGTCGAGAGGGGCGGAGCGTGGAGGGTTGGTCACAAGTTATAGCAGCAGCAGTCTCTCAGTAGTGTGTGTGTGGCGGCTCAAGACAACGCTCCCGACTGGGAATTCTTTCCTCCTACTGTCTCTTTATCTGCGGGCCGCCGACAACCATGGTGTTGTGTCTGTGTGTGAGGTGAGTGTTGCGGGCCTCTTTCCTCCAAGTGCTGAAGCTGTCGGTGATGATGTGTTGTAACAGAGTTACACGTAATCACCGAATCTGCGCGGTCTTGGAATCTTGAGGGGAAGAAGGGTGGGTCAGGGCTTATAATGGTTTAAAAACACGATTTATTTTGGCATGTGTTGATAATAACTTGGTAAATCATCACGATTGTTTGTTTGCTTCGGAATTCTCACTCCAATGGTTGATGTTGGCGTGAGTGCAAGGAATAAACCACTTTGAAATTACCTACCAACTCAAACAAAGACCCGATGACTTTCCCTTATTCGACGAATTGACAAAGAATATAGTTAGGTTGCGTTCAATGGAACGTTCCTGCTAATATGGTAGTTTTATAATATAATGACTCGCCAAAGACGCGGCCTATTTAGCTTCCTGAATAACTTTTTTAACTGCTAGTACTATTCGTTCAAGTAAGGAATGTTTAATTAACGTCCCCCAAAATAGTAGTTTAATGGTGTCTGCTGTGAATGGCCCCCACACTTTTGATTTTCCAGATGTTATTAATCAAACTCAAATCCAACCAACATTGCAACCTAATCGCAACTAATGATCTAAAGATACAAAGCATGCGATGGTGGTGCGGGGGGGGGGGGGGGGTATTGATTGTTTAGGGGGATTAATAGCTAGTGTATGGCGCTACAGTAGTTAAACTGCCTAGTGGGATGGGTAAGGAGAGTGTATCGTAGTTTTATTTGTTTATATTGTGTGTGTGCGCACTGTCATCATCACTGAGTGATGATATATTATTTGTTATATTTGTATATTTTGAAATATTTATAAGAAAATATTGGGTTTGTTTTTACGTTAGATAAACGGTTAGTCTAAATTAACAGTCACGGCAATAGCTGACAGGCTGTTTTAGGCTATTTTGCCGGTCCATTGTTTATGTAATAGAAGTAATTATTTAATAGTATTTATTGTAGTATTCGAAGAATACCCCACTCTTAAAAAAAAAGTCGGAGGAGTTGTATTTTCCTACTTTTTTTTTGCCGATGTTTTCGTCCTGAATAGAACACAAGAAAATAAAGAGTCTGCAATAGGCCGGTTGGCCTGCGCATGGCAGCTCCTGTCGAGAGTTACTACCACTCTGTATCATCCATGAATCTATCTAGCCTCATTTTGAAACTTTCCAGAGTTCCAGCACTTACTACAAAGTTGCTAAGCTTGTTCCACGCGTCCAGTACCCTATTTGTGAACCAGTTTCTTCCTATCTCCCTCCTAAACCTAAACTTATCCAACTTGAATCCGTTGCTCCGAGTCCTATCCTGCTCGGATATTATAAGAACTTTATTTATATCCCCTTTATTGATTCCTTTCACCCACTTAAATACTTCTATCATATCTCCCCGCACTCTTCGTCTTTCTAGGGAATGCAAGTTAAGTTTCTTTAACCTATCCTGATATGGAAGGTTTCTAAGTCCAGGAATCATTTTTTTCATTCTTCGCTGCACTGACTCTAGTGAATTTATATCCATTCTATAATAGGGGCACCAGAACTGAACCGCATAATCTTTGACACGTTGCCATTATCAGTTGCTTATGCAAGAGCAGTACGACAAAATTGTTTCCTCGACATAAACGCTTCCTTACCATATAACACGAAAACCTGTCCGCAACTTCTTAAATAAATATTATACTAACAAATAACAAGGTTTTAAAGCAATTTCGAATTATTGGTTTCATACCTGAACAGTGACTACGGCGACCCATGATTACTGTATCAGTAATGGAATAAAACAACCAAATCTAACTTATCTGTCTTGGGATGGAAACGCATTATTATTCTAACAGGTTATGTAGGTTGGCTAAGGTGTTATTTTAATAAAGATGGTATGGGAAATGTTCGGTGGTTTCTTGTTAGGATAGCTCGCTGAATTGCCTGGGAGCTTGTAAACTGAAAATCATGTCCGCACGTGGTTCGTATTAACAAAAGCTACATTCTTAGCATAAACATACTGTACACACATTTAACCACCGTTTTCTTTCAAGCTGCCATGCACAGGCCAACCGGCCAATTGCAGACTTCATATGTTCTTATGTAGCACCTGTGATATTGTTGTGCTGAATATATATAAAGTTAGACCCTTTGTAGAAAAGGTTAAGCAACCCTGTTATAAAGGTAAGAAACATTGGTAATTATATGACTAACCCTCGAGCGAAATTGATTGAAAACAATTATAAAAACGCCTGAATTTCATTGTTATATTATAGTGGACACTTGTAGTTTGTGGAAATATGTTAAAAAAACGGAAATTTTAAAAATAAACGCTACTTAACATTTGTGGCTATGAAGAACAGACCTAACCAACCATACCTACCTAACCCTACTTAACTTCTCCTCATTCTCACAGGGCCCTTATATACAGGAGACTATTTATTACTTTAATGTTTACGTAGGAAAAATGGCATTAATTTTATTGTTGGGTTAGTAACACTCACGTAGGCCCAGGTATAACCCCGCTGTCTTATCCTGTTGAGTGTTGTGTTGTCATCCCTCAGATCGTGTGTGTCTCCCAGGACGAAAAGACGTACTGTATAATGTGTATAATGGTATGTGCGGGAGGATGCGGTACAGACACTACAGGGAAAATGTTAATTGGTCATACCCTGAAAGGTGGAGGAGACAGGGGGAGATGGGCATCTCGCGTACTGCTTGTCGACCTAATCTTATTAATGCAGTATTGGATTAGGCTCGATGAGGTTAGAATAGTTGATTTGGGGTTACATTAGGTTTGGATAGATTACCTTTGATGAGGTTATGCTAGACTAGATTATGGGGAGGTTAAGTTATATACGTAAGATGAGGTTGGGTTACACGAGGTTAGAACTCAAGTTACGTGAGGTTAGGTTACTGTCGGACAACGCCAGTACTGTACACACAGGGTCGCCTCAATCTAAACAACTCAATGGGTCGTAAAGATCTCAGGTCAAGTAAGGTGATAATGATGAGGGAGGGTCAGGTCTTCCCCTCCTCCACCACCACCACCACACTGCCCTACCCCTACACCAATTAACTCATTATCGTAGTAAATACAAAGAAAATATGAAGCCAAGTTTCTAAATAGTGACAGCCTGAATTATATTTTCTGATAGTTGGTGATAATTTATAGTAGTAAAGGTTTGTTATCCCCGACATACGCTGTTATATGGTTAGGTTTCCGCGTAAGTTGTTGGCGTTTCCCCTATCGTGAGAGGTTATTCTCTGCTATACGGGGTCTTTAACTTTAGAATATCGGAAAATGTTATAAAATATATGAAAACGATGATCACAGAAGTATTGTCTGCTCCAGTGGTTCAGGTTTCGCTATCGTAACATTATTCTCTGTTTCATATGTAGATAAGACCGTATATATTGGGTCTCGTTGCTCGTTAGTGTCCAGTAAGGTATGGGCCAGGTGTGGGTGTCAGACCTGACCTGGGATTGGAGGAGGTGGATGGTGATTATGGTAACCCCAGCCTAAGGGGGGATGGAAAGGGAAGGGGGATTAGTCACAGGTATTACGGTCGCTTCAGGTAAACTTCACGCCAAAACAACCAAAACGTATTTTTCAGTTAGTTAGGAAAGTTTTTTTTTTCTTTTGTTAGCATATTTTATTAGAATTATCATTGTTGTTTATTTTATATTTGTTATCTGGGCTAGACAACACCTGTTAATTATATTCATATATTCTCTACGTCAGTTACATTTTACTACAGAATGGATAAAGAATACCTAGAAAACGCTTATAGAAGGATGACAAGACTAATCTGAGCATTAGGAACCTTGAGTACAGAGAAAGGTTAAAGCATCTTAATTTGCACTCCCTCGAGAGACGTCGAGTGAGGGGCGATATGATCGAGGTGTACTCAGACTATCCAACCAGGAGCGAAATCGTAGCAATGGTTTTAAATTACACATTTAGATTTAGGCGCGAGATAGGTAAACATTGGTTTGGAAATAGAGTAGTGCAACAAGTTAGCAAATCTCATCATTAACTTGAATACACTGGATAGCTTCAAATATAGGTTAGATGGATATAATTATGAGCGATATGAGTAAACGGGACTGTCCAGTATGGGCCAATAGGTCTGCAGCTCCTTCCAGTCTCATGTTTTTGTGTTGCGTTATTTAATATGTTGTTGCTTTTAGTAATGTTGTGTAACGTTATTTTGTAATGTTGCGATGTTATGTCTGGCACTGGTTAGCCAAAATGTGATTGTTTCACTGCTGTATGCAACATGCGATGATTCATACCTCCTGAACGCGTGCAGCTCCGTCAAATTTGTCAGTTAACTTTCCTTGCTCGAGGTTGCGTGCCACCATTGACAACACGGCCGTTCTCTCCTACAACTTGTATTTGACGTGTTGGCAGCTACAGGAAATTACTTTATAATCTACGAACATTCTCCATTCTCTCTCTCTCTCTCTCTCTCTGAAGCTTTATATAGTTTCTCACTGATTTATGAGGGCAGTTATGTGTATATGACGATGCCAGATGTTATTGTCAACCCGCAATGTTCTCTGTAGATATTCTTCACAGTAGGCCCATAATGGCAAAGTTTTATATTCCACACCATGATCAGGCAGGGGAGTGACTACTGCATTCGTATCTGTGCTGGCGGGCAGTCAAAGGGCAGTTTTTCCTCCTCGCCGGCTTTGTCCCGACCTGCCAGGAATTTCGTGTGATGGCTGTCGTAGCATCGTCTATGATAATGTCTCGTCATCGAATCTTAGCTCAGTCGAAGGAAGAGATGAAAGTGTGATGATGGCAAAGTGGAGGACGACGACGCTGAAGAGTTTGAGAGGGACAAAATGCGGGTGTATTGCCCTTGAAAGACTATGCCCACCTCTCCTAAGCTTCTCATGGTGCTTTTGATAGTTTCATGCACTGTACTGTAGTTCACTTACAGTACACGACACTTCATGACAACACCTGCTTCTCGGTCCGGAAAAAAAACCACCGTGTCCCTCTTACTAGACTTAGCCGCCATGAATTTTATGGTATTTTACACTTTACTTCCTTTCACTCAAACACAGGATCAAAGTGTTGTTTCTAAGTTTTATCTTCGAGTTTTAATGTGACAATATCTGGTGCTACTATAGTATGCGGTCTACCAGGATAGTTACTGTTAAGTTGGTTAGGTTAAGGATATATTATTATAGACGCTACAGTGTAAATATCCCGGCAGACCACTTACTATAGTAGCACCGAATATTGTTTTTTTTTTCACTTTAAAATCGACTTAGTTGGGGGGTGGTGGTGTAGTAGTGGTCTTCATCTGTTCTGTCGTCAAGCCTCATCTCGCCGAAACTCCTGCACTGTGCTGTACGAAGAGGCTTTACATGGATTTCCTTGGGTTGTTTGTCATTTTATATATAAACATAGCGACTGCAACATTTAAATGAATTGGTTACTAATTATTTAAGGAAAATGAATGAGGCACATGATGAATGGCAGTATAGTGTGTTATGGTGAAACTAAGTAAAGGGGAGATGATAAGAAAGAAGAAAACGAGACGAGCGAAGGAGAATGGTGGCATAGTGACTTGCAAGTAATGTGAGAAATGGTGTTAATTCTCCGCGGGGGACGTACGAGTAAGAACAAAAATGAAAGTAATAATTGCACGTGCATCATGCAACAAAGGTGGACACCAAGAATGCATTTTTCGATGGATGATGCAAATGGATGGCAATAAAAAAGTGTAGATGTCGAAATAAAAGTGAAATTTAGAGCTACGAACCAAGGCCATGATGACTAGTGAGGAAATTCGTCATAAGTTTGTGTTGTGTTCAAGTGATTGTTTTTACCCGCACTTAAGGCGCCAGCCGAGGTGGTGGTGATATGAGCAGAAGCACAACAAATATTTTATAAAAGGCCGCAGGTAAACCATCTTTTATGTGTCTCAATATTACCTCTGTATATTTTAAACATCTTCGATGCAGATGACAGGAAGTAACTTGGAAATATTTCTTAATTTAGCGAAGCAAAACAAAACAAACATGTACAGATAGAATGTAAAAAATAATAATAATTAACGGCACCTCATTTTCTTTGCTCTGTTTCCTTCGTTTTTCCCTTGTTACACCGGGGCGGTAATTGTTAATGCTTACCCGAGGTCTGACCGCGGGTGAGAGGATTTACTGTGACTTTCAACACTTCAACAACTAACTCGCAATGCTGTTATTTGATATTGTCACTTTCAAACACAACTCTGCTTTTATTGATGTTATTTATATCTTATGTTAAGTCTGATGTAATGTGGATATTATTTGGGGTAAAATTTGAGAGGGAGAATGGGAGGTGTTGAGTGATGCTAGTAATGCTCACACACACACACACACACACACAGAATGTCCCACAAATAAGATGAATGCCAGATCAGTCAAGTGTCCAGGGAGTTCGATCTTATAATCTCCATGTACAGTTTCCCGTTATGTTCGGGGGGTGTTTTGGGGGTTGGCCCGTGTAGAACTAGCAAGGATAATTAAACCCAATTAGGAGGAAATTACAGGAACCAAGTTTAACTGTTCATTCGTCTGACAGAGCAGCACCTACCTAGTCGCCTTCCGAGAACCGTCATGGGGTGGTTTAGCGGAACTTCCGGTAGCTGGCAGGTAGAATATACGTCCAGGCGGGAGTTGTGTGCTGATTGGTTTTCTTGCCTCGTGATGTCCATTGGTTAAAACTCCCTTCCTGTATCTTGGGGATTGAATTTAACATTAACCTAATCTGTTTTTTCGCAAGCCTGCACTAATCTAACGTAACAACCTACCTAACCCATGACAGTCGTTGATGAGGATTGGAGGCCGACCTCATATTTCCTCACACACACACAAAGGGACAGAAACGGGTACTATTTCCATATTCTCCGCCTCAGGTGACGAGGGATAATGAGAAATTATTTCTATTGTCAGTAAAATTTTCCCAGATTATTTTGACGTATTTAATAATAAATAATAATAATTAACGGTTTATTGAAAAAGTTCTGCAGCCCAAAGGCTGAAAATATATAAGAACATAAGAACATAAGAATGGAGGAAACTGCAGCGGGCTTATTGGCCCATACTGGGCAGTCCCGTTTACACCCAACCCCTATTGCTCATATAAGCATCCAACCTATGTTTGAAGCTATTCAGCGTATTCGAGTTAATGATGATATTTGGTAACTTGTTCCATTCATCCACTACTGTTTCCAAACCAGTGTTTACCTATTTCACGCCGAAATCTAAATAGATGACTTATTACATACATTGGTTGTTTAACAAAAGCCTTCATTAGAGAAAGGTAAAGGAACATACAGATTAATGTAGGCGTTGAACAGCAAACACGTAGTGTAGTAACTCCCTCCTAGATAGTGTTATAAGGAACCTCACGTCGTGTAATAGTTCCCTCACTGATGGTGTTACGAGGGGCCTCACGTGGTGTAGTAACTCCCTCACAGATGGTGTTATGAGGGGCATCACGTGGTGTAGTAATTCCCTCACAGATGGTGTTATGAGGGGCCTCACGTGGTGTAGTAACTCCCTCACAGATGGTGTTATAGAGGACCTCGTGTGTTTAACTCCCTCACAGATGGGTGTTATGAGGGACCTCACGTGGTGTAATTCCCTCACAGATGGTGTTATGAGGACCTCGTGGTGTAGTAACTCCCTCTGGAGAGATGATGTTATGAGGACCTCACGTGGTGTAAACTCCCTCACAGATGGTGTTATGAGGGACCTCGTGGTGTAAGTAACTCCTACAGATGATATGAGGACCTCACGTGGTGTAGTAACTCCCTCACAGATGGTGTTATGAGGGACCTCACGTGGTGTATTAATCCCTTACAGATGGTGTTATAGAGGACCTCACGTGGTGTAGTAATTCCCTCACAGATGATGGTGTTATGAGGGACCTCACGTGGTGTAGTAACTCCCTCACAGATGGTGTTATGAGGACCTCACGTGGTGTAGTAACTCCCTCACAGATGGTGTTATGAGGACCTCACGTGGTGTACTCCCTCACAGATGATGTTGAGGACCTCACGTGGTGTAGTAACTCCCTCACAGAGTGGTGTTATGAGGGACCTCACGTGGTGTGGTGTTATGAGGACCTCGTCCCTCACAGATGGTGTTATGAGGGACCTCACGTGGATGATGTTATGTCACGTGTGTAATGCTCCCTCACAGATGGTGTTATGAGGACCTCACGTGGTGTAGTAACTCCCTCACAGATGATGTTATGTCGTGGTGTATAACTCCCTCACAGATGGTGTTATGAGGACCTCACGTGGTGTAGTAACTCCTCACAGATGGTGTTATGAGGGACCTCACGTGGTGTAGTAACTCCCTCACAGATGGTGTTATGAGGGACCTCACGTGGTGTAGTAACTCCCTCACAGATGGTGTTACTTTTACTTTATCCTCTTCGCCACTGATCGGCTTGTTAGCCGCTTGGGCGATCGGTCACGTCTGATTACTTTTCCTTTTCATTTATCTTCTTCTATATGAGTGAGGTGTGGCCCCAGGCCTTCCTATCGTAGACGGATTAACACATCGCTGGTTGTTGTTGGGTCTCACGGGCAGTTAACACTGGGTACCTGGGACCTCACTGTGTGAATGTTAATTTGGATAAAACTCGGCTGTTATTTTTTAGTTGTTCTCACTGACTTAAGCACTGTTCACCTCTGTTCAACACTAGCTCCATTCCTTTCCTAAATGAAATTGTAACTTCTGGCGAGAACTTGTTGATATTCCGGTGGGGAGGAGGGTTCAGGAGAGAGAGAGTTGGTATGGGCCAACTTAACAGTTGACCTGGCTGCTCCCAGAGGAGCGCCAGGTATGTCTTGACCCTTCGATGGTCAAGGATGTAGGCGCCAACTTGTGTTCGTCGCCGTAGACCTCCACTCAGTACTGGGTTGGTGTGTGTGTGTGTTATCATTAGCATTTAAACATATCAAGGTCATTTTCTCTTCTCTCGCTAAGTGGTATTCCACCTCTTCAGGGCTAGTCTCGAAATTGATCATTATGTAAATGTTAAGTGTTATTACTTATTATTATTTCCATTATTTCTGTGTTAAGTAGATGGGGCTGGTCCTAGTGGTCCATATCCTCGAGTTTACAAATACTTCCTCCACTTCTGTCTGTCTTCACTGTATTCACGTATTCTTGCCAAAACAGAGAATTTGTGGGTATTAAAATGTTCTTTTGTGTGTTATTGGGACTGTGGATAAGACCGTGATCACATGTTACGGTAGACTCAGTTACTTGATCAGATTTGTGTCATTGTTTTCATTACTGTAAATGCATCCTTAAGGTTCCTGTTTGTGTGTGTTTCAGGTTATGGTGGTTCTGCTGCGTGGTGACCGTGACCTGTAGCTACGTCTCCAACCTGCGTCCGTTTAGAGGTGTCCTGCAGGACCTAGGAGGACCACAACCACAACCACAGAAGGCAGATGTTAGAGGAGGTGATGCACTTTTCAGTCAGGCGGACAGCAGCATCGCCAGTAACACCATCACCAGGAGCCACTCGCCCGTACCACAGGATGTCACTGACGCGCTGAGGGCGGGTCTTGAGATCGCTCAGCAAATTATTGACCAGGAGAATGCAAACGGTAGGGAGAGGGTCGTTAGTGAAGGCAGAAGGGAGGGAGCTGGCTAAGGGGGCGAAGGTTACGTCTGGCGATGCTTTCCAAGTATTGCATGTTGGGTGTAGGAGGAATGCCTGACGCTACTGGTGGCTCATGCTGGCCATGGTTTTATACAGTGTTGATTTTAGTGGAGGAGCCAAGTGACTGTGTGTGGGGGTATGGGCATAGGGCAGTTCAGTGGTAGTTATGAAGGGGGTTATGGTAGACAGTTCTGGTAGTTATGAAGGATGTTATGGTAGACAGTTCTGGTAGTTATGAAGGGGGTTATGGTAGACAGTTCTGGTAGTTATGAAGGATGTTATGGTAGACAGTTCTGGTAGTTATGAAGGGGGTTATGGTAGACAGTTCTGGTAGTTATGAAGGGGGTTATGGTAGACAGTTCTGGTAGTTATGAAGGATGTTATGGTAGACAGTTCTGGTAGTTATGAAGGGGGTTATGGTAGACAGTTCTGGTAGTTATGAAGGGGTTATGGTAGACAGTTCTGGTAGTTATGAAGGGGGTTATGGTAGACAGTATGAAGTTATGGTAGACAGTTCTGGTAGTTATGAAGGGGGTTATGGTGAACAGTTCTGGTAAATTTATGAAGGGGGTTATGGTAGACGGTTGCAAGTGAGTTATGGAAGGGGTTATGGTAGACAGTTCTGAGAGTTATGGAAGGGGTTATGGTAGACAGTTCTGGTATTGGTTATGAAGGGGTTATAGTGGGAGCCAGTTCTGGTAGTTATGAAGGGGGATGTTATGGTAGACAGTTCACCAGAGTAGTTACAGAAGGGGTTATGGTAGACAGTTCTGGTAGTTATGAAGAGTTTATAGTAGACAGTTCTGGTAGTTATGAAGAGGGGGTTATGGTAGTAGTTCTGAAGTAGTTATGGAAGGGGGTTATGAGCAGACAGTTCTGGTAGTTATGAAGGGGTTATAGTAGACAGTTCTGGTAGTTATGAAGGTTATGGTGAGCAGTTCTGGTATTGGTTATGAAGGGGTTATGGTGAACCAGTTCATTACAGTTATGAGAGGGGATTATGGTGAACCCAGTTCTGTAGTTATGAGAGGATGTTATGGTAGACCAGTTCTGGTGGTTATGAAGGGGTTATGGTAGACGGTTCTGGTAGTTATGAAGGATGTTATGGTAGACAGTTCTGGTAGTTATGAAGGGGGTTATGGTAGACAGTTCTGGTAGTTATGAAGGGTTATGGTAGACAGTTCTGGTAGTTATGAAGGGGGTTATGGTAGACAGTTCTGGTAGTTATGAAGGGGGTTATGGTAGACAGTTCTGGTAGTTATGAAGGATGTTATGGTAGACAGTTCTGGTAGTTATGAAGGGGGTTATGGTAGACAGTTCTGGTAGTTATGAAGGATGTTATGGTAGACAGTCGACAGCCCGGACAACGCCTGAGGATGATCTGCTTTTTGCCGGGCTGTTGTGGGAGACCTCAGGAGTTGGCCCAAAGTTTGTTGTTGTTTTTATTTTAGAGATTTAGAAATTTCGAGAAATTAGTTTTGATCTGTGTGGGGAGGGGGGGTTACTACGTTCTTATTTATTTAATCTATTTTATTTCATGTATGTACACACACTTAGACGTACACATACATGCATGAGTACAATGATATACTGTATGCATACACGCACTTACACAAACATACGCGCGCACACATGCCCACGCATACGCACATACATACATAAATACAGACATACGCGCGCGCGCACACACACACACACACACGATTGCACACGTGACTGGGATGACAAGCAAAATACATATAAAAAATGATTACTCTGAATCCTACTTAAGTTTTTTTCTCGTGTGTGTGTGTGTACAGGGGAGCAGCTGCGGACGTCGTTTGTACAGCAGCCACTGGAGCAGAGCACCATGTTCCTCTTCTCCTTCAGAAGGGCAGAGCCAGCAGCCAAACGCGCCGCCTCCTGCCAGGGTAGACTACTGCTCGAGGCCTCCAAGAACTTCACTAGAAGGTCAGTAGTGTGCCTTTCCTCCCTCCTTGTTCCCTCCCTGACACACACACACGGTGATCATATCCCCACGAGACGTTTCATTAATATGTAATTTTCAAGTTGCAATATAAAGTTACATGGGTCATTCTTCTTCTTTAATGACAGGCAGGCGACACACCACAGGCCTAATTTACCCTAAAAACCTGGTAATGACTTGTAAAGATTCCCCACTACCAGGAGAGGTCATGCCAGGTCAAGGCTTGGGGGCAGCCATCAGGTGACCTTTGGGAGTGTTAAGTTGAGGGAATTAGTTTTTTTTTTAGTATCCTTGAGTGAGCGACGTCTTGTATAGCTTCAACACCTTGGCATAATAGTCCAGGTAATTTTAACATTTTGCCGTACTGTAGTAATCTTGCCATATTGCCATAATAACCTTGACATATTGGCTAAGGTTCACATATTGCATGAATAATTTAGACATTTTGCCTTAACAACCTTGAAATATTGCCTGAGCGAAACCCTTTAACATAAATGGTACGATTATGCGGTTGTCTAGAAAATGAAAATTAAGAGAAATAAGAGGTAGGTTCTCAGTCTTCCTCAGGGTAATTCTTTACTTCCTCCAGTCACGAAGCGGAAAAGTAGCCATGATTCTGATATATAAACACTGAATACTTTTGATTATAGAACTGAAGTTAAAAACATCCGCGATATATAACTAGATATTAAGTGGGTTTAATTTGGATGGTCTTTGTGATTTTCATATTGTGTAGCGGTTCATTTAACGACTGTGCTGAGGAGGTCAACCAAGGTACTGGGGAAAGAAATTAGTTTAGGTTCGTGGTGGACCAACTCAGGCTGCAAGATGTAATGTCGATGTTATTGTGCGTGTGTGTGTGTCTTATCTCGGTTCATGGAGAAGATGACGATGGTGAGTGGTGATGGTATGCGTCACAGTACATGTTCAGCCACCACACACTTCCTTCGTGATGATGTCTGGTAACTATTTATATACTGCAACTGCAAGATGATGGTGAAGATGGTCCCCCCCGCCCGACCAAATGATTCACTGACACACCAACCAACCCCCCCCCTCTCTCTCTCCTCCCCCCCCATCTCCCCATCCTTCCATCCCACAACCTCCCCCTCCTTCACCCTGTGGCAAGGTTAACATCCTAATTTAATAGATATTACTGAAGGAGGTCATACCCATGAAAGGACTGACGCCTCACCTCACGCCTTCCACGCCTCTCCTCATGCCCTCCACGCCTCTCTATACCACGTGTTGCATCCGTGAGGTGTAGCATATATATGTGTGTGTGTTCCATGTGTGAGTGGGTGTCGAGTGTGGGTGTTGGCGTGCGTCTTGCCAGTCAATGAAATTATGAGTGTGAATAACGATCCCGCGACACTCACTCACTCACTCACGCGACGCTCACTCACTTACTCGACACATTAACACGCAGGTAAGGGAGTCGGGCAGGTGACTGTGGGAAGTTCTTGATCATCTGAGGGGGCTCCACCCACCACACCTTACATGCTGCTGTAGCTAATGTGATTCGCCAGGAAGAGTGTGTAAGTTGGGTACAGTGAACAATTGACTTCATTACTCGACCTTGAAATATTTATAATTACGGGGTCTGTCACGTGGGTGTGGCGTCACGTATCGGGCAGATGGATTGGGAAAGGGTAGGTATATTTTGGCTTTTGTCTGTGAGGGCGGGAAGGTGTGTGTGTGAGGACGGGGAGGTGTGTGTTGGAAACGTCTGGGGTGTAGAGGGGGAGGGGGTGACCGTGGGAGCCTCGCTACAGGAAGGATGAGACAGATATGATGAACTTTCTTGGGTGAGTGCAGGTAACTGTCCGTAATCGCGCGTGTGTGCGCACCATCCGAAGGGAACTGATGGCACCCCCAGTCTGATTCACACCATCCTTGACGAGATGTTGGTCCACTCAAGATGTTGTTCCGCCATCAGCAGCACTTGATGATGTAACAGATGTTATTGTTTTTTATATATTATTTAGTAGTAACAGTTGTTGTTTCCTTTACGCCGCCAGACACAACATCGCCGCCCAAGACGCGCAGTTCTTCCTGGCCAGACTCAACACCATGGTGGAGGCCGGGGCGTGCAAGAGCTTGAGGCCACGAGGCTGTGAGGAAGCCAAGGCGCCACCCCAGTGCTCACCCGACTACCCTTACCGGTCCATCGATGGCTCCTGCAACAATCTGCAGAATCCTCGGTGGGGCGCCGCCTCCATCCCCTTTGTCAGATACTTGGCTCCTGCTTATGAGGACGGTGAGTACCTGTGTTAACGTCCCGAGTGCGAGTTACCCGCAGGTGAGTATCACTTGTACTTGTATTTTATTTGTTGCATAATACATTGTCTGGTATCAGTTGAGGATGCCGTCGGCACCTCTTGGGTAATTCTTCACTTTTTCGTAAACTTTTGACTAGAAGTATGGCGGGATAAAGTTGGACGTTGACGAAGAGCAAATTAAGGGAATAAACTCATCACTAGAAGGGGGCGTGGACGTGTGCCTCAACTAGTGTGGTGAAGGGAGAGGGAGACTGAAGTGGACACGGGAAGAGATGTACAGTATATGGCTAATAAGAAGTGGGTAAGAAGCGGCCAAGACCTTCCTGCTGGGGAGGTAGGGTCAGATGCTGCAGTGATTCCCGATGAAGTTTCCTCGCTCTAATGTAAAAAGCTGTTAGTCCATGCACAACCTTGCCGTCAGCCACGCTGTCAGCCACACCCCCTTGTTCACTTGAGCTGGTGTGTGACTGGACGCAAGATGCACAGTTACAGAAACCAGTCACTCGAAGAACGCCGGCCTCAAGAGCTATCAGAGTGTAGTGAGGACAATAGACTTCCTGACCCGTCCTAACCAACAGTAGTTATATTTTCCTTCCTAGCCCTGAGAGGCCATTCATCCCTGGAGTTTGGGGGGTGAGTGGGAACGGTGAGAAAGAAGGGCAGAAGGCACTATCTAGCTAGAGGAGTAAGATAAAGAGAGTGAGAGTAGTAAGGAATGGGGAGAGATGTGCAAGTGAGGAAGGAATGAGGAGAGATGTGCAAGTGAGGAAGGAATGGGGAGAGATGTGCAAGTGAGGAAGGAATGGGGAGAGATGTGCAAGTGAGGAAGGAATGGGGAGAGATGTGCAAGTGAGGAAGGAATGGGGAGAGATGTGCAAGTGAGGAAGGAATGAGGAGAGATGTGCAAGTGAGGAAGGGATGAGGAGAGATGTGCAAGTGAGGAAGGAATGGGGAGAGATGTGCAAGTGAGGAAGGAATGGGGAGAGAAGAATGAGTGAAGGAGATGAGAATGGGACGATAGGTAAGAGAGAGTGAAGCCACAGCAGCAATAGGCTCTTGCATTATTATCCTTGTTAGTCTTTTGTGGTCGTAATAAAAGGTTGGAAGAGGACCGGAAGCCGCCCCCAGCCTCGGCCTCACTCCTGGAGATTCGAGAGCTTCCTGCATCCTGTTGCTCGCCCGAACTGAGAACGGTTAGGAATGTCTTAAACTGCGATATAAAAGAATTCTTATAATTTCCTACGTTAAATATATCTTATAATGGGTAATATGATAGCATCCTTTGACTGACTGACTGACTGACTTAAGCTACAATACATATCTCAAAGATTCCTATGTTAAATATGTCCACCTGTCATCTGAATTAAGAATTAACTCAAACACGTAAATTAACTTTACCTAAACTGTATACTTAGGAACATTTATTTATAGCTCACTTAAGCTACAACATAAATACTGACAACTAAAAATATCCACCGTGTCTAGATTATTCTCGAGGTTCTTGATATAACTAGACACGTTCACGCTTACTGGTCAGAGGAAAATTATCTCCCCAATTGCTGTTCATTTGTAGGTGGAAGCGGGCAATTAGTTCAGCACCCTAGTTCTGTGTCGTGTGAGCTACTGGTGCATTAGTTAGGTAAGGAAAGACTATGAGTGTGATGGTGGTGTTGATTGTGGTGGTTATGTTAATTGACATCAGGTGTGATAAGATATAGTGGTGGTTATGTTGATTGTTGTCAGGTGTGGTAAGGTGTAGTGGTGTCCGCTTACTAATCGTTTGACCAGTTGGTCTGCTCTTGTAATGAACTTTATCGTCCAATATTAGTCACAAGATGAAACTGTAGTACTGTATCCGGAGAAAACCTGTACCACTCTATTGCCCCTCGGATCCGGGTCTGAGTTTGAGCGTACAGTACTTTTGCTTCCCCTCCACTCACCCAGACGTCACTACCACCCCTCGCTGTTCTCCTTGGGGCGCGTTACTGTGTGTATGGCGGTCAGAAAGCGCGGTGCATTTCTTAGGGTTAATGGGTATAAAGTTGTCAATAAAGGCCTTAAACCATTACCATACAGTGTGACCAGCAGCGAGGGTGTACCAGCATGATCCATATTGAAGCCTCTTCCACTTTCCATGTTAACTCCCCCTCTACCCTTCCCACTGCCTCTTTTAAGTTAAGCACCGCCCTTCTTGACCTTCTCAGCAACCACCTTAACCTTCCCAGCTAAACACTGCCCTCCTCCGCTACCCTGACCGCTACTTAACGCCCCTATCCGCCGCCGTCCCACCCCAGCAATTCGTTCATCTCTCACCCTGAGCAGCGTAGAGTACGTCTGTGGTCCCTCCCGCCACCACACCCATTAATACGCAGGATGATTAAGTGTGTCCGCCCGCCCGCCCACCTACCTCCCAAAACTTCTCATGACTACACAAGAATTCCCACGGTGGCGACGACGGAGTGGCGACAGCGGTCATAGCAAGCGCAGGTGTGTAGCAATAGGAAGAGCCTGTCGCCTCCTGCTGTCAGTGACCCCAGTACCGCGTGCCGCCTACAGCCACACACTAAGTTGTTTGGACTTGCTTCCTAGCCCCCATTGGTCCCTGTTCACCTTGCAGTAAAGTAGGGAAAGTTGTTGGAGCTTCCAATAACTTCATGACATAAACCACTGACGCTTCAGGCTTCTACGCCCTTAACTCGTGAGACATAAAGGCAAGCATGAACTTAGCATGCTTCCCTGTTGGGCGCTGTAAACGCTTCTGCGCTTCACCTTACACAAGGATGTAGGGGGGGGGGGTGCCGCAGGGGCATCGCACTGACCCTACGGCGTTTGTTACAAAGATCCTTTGGTTGTTGCGAGGCTTGGGGTTGTTCTGATGATTGAATGTTGGTGTGAAGTTAAGGTTCGTTTATGGAAATGAATATTGTTAGTTTCTCTGCATTAGTCCATTGGTGAGATGCATCGGTTGTTTGTAAATGTATGGCGTTTGCCGAGATACACTGGTTGTTTGTGAGTTGAGTGTCACAGGTTGTTTGTTGAGCCACACCTGGCAAGAAATGACAAGGGAAACTACATCGATCATAACCGTAATTCCCTGACCGTGAAAGAACTTGTATTTAAGTTTGCTTTCACAAGTTATTATTGCCAGGAATAAAGGTACGGGGATCTATTGATTAATCTTTATCACAAGAATAGGACAGGGGTTGTACGGGCTGGTGGGTGTCAGTGGTGTCGTGCCCTTGGATGATGTCAAACACTGGCTCAAATTCAGGGAGTTGTCAGCGTATAGCGTCGTCGGTGAGAAGTAAACAATGGCTGTGATCTGAGAGGCTCTCCCTAGTAAGGACTGAGAGGCTACTGCCAGGTGAGGACGGTTCGTGCCCTTGGATGGGGTCGATACGAAGGCTTGTTGTAATAAAGTGGGAAGGGTGACAGGGAACGTTGGTAGGCCTACGTGTTGAACCAGCCGCGGCACACAACTTCCTCCTCGATAACAAGTAGTAATTACCGTATATCTTCCACCGTGTTGCTGCCAACATATATAACTTGTAGGGGTATGCGATATTGGTTCACACTCAGGATGGGATGGAGAAAGGAAACTCACAATGTACTCACTGTATACATATTGTATTGAATGTACAATGCAGCTTGTTGCTGGGTAGGTAGCATGGTAATAAGCGTTGAGTAGAGAGAGCTGGGTGGTGAGGGTGACCAGAGTGAGGGCACCCGGCTTGAGGGACGCCAAGGTCGCTGGCGGGAACGGCAGCCGCCAGGCTGACGCGGAGGAGGAGGTGTTGCTTGCTGGTGGCACTGTGTAGAAAGAGGGTAGTCACGTCGGTGTCAGGCCTTATAAGGCGGGGGTAGGCGTGGGTAGATAGTTGACCCCCGCTCCGTGGGCGGCGCTGGAGGCGTAGGCTGGGGAATTCGAGAAGGTTCGGCGCTTGTAGGGGAGGAATCCACTACAAACTCAACTACGATAACAAACGCCTTTCATATATTTTCGGTAGATTTCCTGTTATTTTGGATCTCATTGGACAATATTAAGGAAAATGATAAGGAACTGTAAAAAAAACTTTTCGTCGGAACTGCTGCTGAAAGAATTAGCAAGAACTTTTGTTTCTTGTAGAACACACCCACTCTCTCACCCACCCACCCACCGTCCCCTCGTGTACAGTACCTGGCCGGGATTCTTAAAAACAAATTAAGTGATAAATTCTCTTATAACGGGGGAGTAACGAGGACGTCTCTTAACTCCTTCCACGTTAAGTAAACAACAAAGATGGCGGCGGCGATCATGACGTCAGAATGGGTCCTACGTGCGAGAGAGTGTATACCATGACAGTGAGAGTTAAAGTATATCCAGTTCCTGTCTGGTGGTTATGACTGATTTTGTGTGTTATTACCTCAGCTGGGTGTCTGTCTCCTCCGCACCACTATTTCCTTTACAAACACTAAAACTTTCCCCCGACTGCACATCTAGATCCTTATCCTGCACACCCTCGCGCTGTGTTGCCCGAGATGACAAGATCATTTTATTAACAAAAGACAGTGTATAGAAGCCTCCTAACCTAACCACCAACTCCCCGCCCCCTTTCACCTTCCCCCTCTATAGGAGCGGCGACGAGGCATCAACACACAATAACTAGAAGAGCTGGACGGGGCCCTTTGTCAGCGGCAATCTGGTTATTTAGGGCCTCGTCACGCCCTAGTAAACGCCGGAGTCCACAGTCTTGATAAACTTCTCTCCTCTGATCGTCGATATCTCCTGAAGAAGACTAAAGAGCACTGGTAATATACAGTATACTGTATATATTAACGTCTAATATAGAGTATACCCCTTCATATAATAACGTGTATTAGGATATTATATTATCCTTCAGAACCCAGAAAAGGATTAGATTAATAGAGAAACTAAAAAAAAATTCTGTTTGATCGTCACTAAGCGGGGGTGACAGGAAGGTGGACACCAGTCACCACGCCTCGTCCTGGGCTGCCTGGTGCCGCTCACTAGGCCTACACCGTCAGCTACAAGTGTCGTGGTGATTGAATGATGTGGCGGTGAGATACAAGAATGTGGTGATGTAGCAGTAGTCGTTTTTTTCTCATTATTTATTGATGTAGTTTAATTTATAAAGTTATTGACACTGAACAGTTTGTTGACGAGACGCGAAGGAAATACAGGAGCATATTTTTTAACAAACTTACGATGAAAGGCAGTGTTTATCCCCTACCAAACTTCCCCAAGTGTGTCCCAAGTATGGTAATAAGTGAGGCTGAACATGTTGATTATTATAGAACGCCACTCGAATATTCACGACTAGAAGCTATGACATTAAAGACGGATAGGCGTTATTGTGTTGAGGAGCGCCACAAGGGTTGGTTAGTGTCCCAGGCATCATGGAATTACAATGTCTGCTAACCACACGGTCTAAATCTTTGTCTGTCTGAATACGTATTTTCTTTTCTTATTCGATTAATATACAGAATTAATAAATAAGAGAAATGCGCTGACATGATATTTTCTGAGAAACTCCGTAAATTTGTATAAAAACAAAAACACAAATTCTCGTATCCTTTCTTTCCCACTTCCATTCCATTCCTTCTTTCCTCCCTCTTTCCCATTCTTTCCTCCCTTCCTCGCCCCCTTCCTCCACTTCTCGTCACTCTTCCCCATCTCTCTCTCATCTTTTCCTTCCCTCCTCTCTCCACCGTCAGCCTCGAAGGTAAGAATGCCTCTTATAGATTTACCTTTTTATAAATCAGAGCACAATACCAAGGCCGGGCCGTCCCATAGTACTGTACAGTGCCTAAAAGGGTACCATTAAGGCTTGGCAGGGGGGTACCACCCCATAGCACCACTCCGTACTGTATTGGTATCTGCCTCTCTTGGTACCACTCATAGTACCAAGGTTAAGTCTTCGTGGTATCTGTTGGTGTGCAGGTGTTAGAAACTGAAGCTTCAGGCATCAGTGTGTGAGGCGACAGGTGTTACGGGCGATGATGGTGCAAATACCTGTGATATGGCTATGCTTTAGATGGTGAGAGAGAGGGGGGGGGGTCAAAAATAAAGAGAGAGGGAGAGGGGCAAAGAGATAAAGAAATAGATAGCGAGAGAGAAAGGAAGATATAGGGATAACGAGAAGGATAACAAGAAAGATAGCGAGAGAAAGAAACATTGGTCGCAGTGAAGGTGGTGGTGATGATGTAGCTCAGTGAAAGTCTCGCCACACGATAACCACCCATCACTCATTAATGTTTTCCCGCAGTAAGGCGAGAGTTTGGCCGTCCAGTTACATACTGTAAACTGAGGAGTATAAACATTGCATGTAATGGGGCGAGTGGTGAAGGTAAATGCTAAATAATGAAGAAAAATAGTTTATGATGGAAGTGAGAAAAGTGACAGCTGATACTGTAGCAGTGCAGGTGAAACAGAGTGAAGTGGGGATGCTCTTGATGACCTGTAGGTGTGTAATATAAAGGAATATCTCTCTCTCTCTCTCTCTCTCTCCCTCTCCACAGACGTGGACGCTATGCAGGTGTACATGAAAAATTATCTTAATACCATCAATTTTTTTTACTTCGTAGGTGTTGATGCTTTGAGGGGCGCTGGCAGGACAGGATTGAGAAGGCTGCCGTCACCCCGGGCTGTGAGTTGGATGTTACACGTGGGTGGGAACCGACCCCCTTTACCACACCTCACACTTATGATCATGCAGTGGGGGCAGTTCATGGATCACGACATTGTCCACACACCTGAAGCTGCAGGTATGTCCTTGTAAACCTGTCCAGTACCCACCTTAGTCTGCAGGTACACTCACACACCTGTTTCTGATAACCTCATGATAATGTCTGGACGTGATTTCAGGTGTGGACGAGCACGGGGAGACGATGCCTGTCGAATGTTGCCGGGATGGGGTGGACACTTCAAACTTTTTTGACTTGACCCAAGACTGCCGCCCCATCGACGTCTCCACCGACCCGCTATTTTCCGCCAACGGGAGGACCTGCATGAGATTCGTCAGGTCACTCATAGCAAGCAGGGACTGTCTTTTGGGTGAGTGACATCATGCAACGTCATGCACTTTTTCCCTCTAAACACGCCATGCGTTTGTACGGCTCCTCAATCATTTCTCACTGCACATGCTCTAGTGTCTTCTTTCTAGAATGTCGTGCACCTGTGTACTTCAGAGTACGGGAGAGGGACAAGTAAAACCAGACGATCAAGTAAATACCGAAATGGAGTTTTATTCCTGTGTTGTATTAAAACGTTACCCAAGTGTATTCTCGACTGCAGGAGAAAGACCTGTCTAGTATTCACGCCAAGATTATGTATGAGACGGCTAGAGTTATTTATGAACAGTACAAGAGAAAGTTGTTATATTAAAGAGTTTTAGCCAGGACGATTAACTCCATACCATGTTCCCTCCACCACTCCATACCGTGTACCCTCCACCACTCCATACCGTGTACCCTCCACCACTCCATACCGTGTACCCTCCACCACTCCATACCGTGTACCCTCCACCACTCCATACCGTGTACCCCACCACCCATACCGTGTACCCTCCACCACTCCATACCGTGTACCCTCCACCACTCCATACCGTGTCCACCACTACCGTGTACCCTCCACCACTCCATACCGTGTACCCTCCACCACTCCATACCGTGTACCCTCCACCACTCCATACCGTGTACCCTCCACCACTCCATACCGTGTACCCTCCACCACTCCATACCGTGTACCCTCCACCACTCCATACCGTGTACCCTCCACCACTCCATACCGTGTACCCTCCACCACTCCATACCGTGTACCCTCCACCACTCCATACCGTGTACCCTCCACCAGGCCCCCGGGAGCAGCTCAACCAAATCACAGCGTATATAGACGGGTCAATGGTGTATGGGTCGACGGTGGAGGTGTCCCAGGAGCTGAGGCTGTACCGAGGAGGACGACTCAACAAGTCCAGCGCCCCCAGTGGCCACGGTCACTTCCTCCCTCGCTCTAAGTGTGAGCATAGCGACGGCTTCTGCTTCAAAGCAGGTCAGTACTGTGGAGACGTGCAGGGTGTCCCAAAGAAGAATTAGCACTGCCTTAAAAATTTTCGTGGAGACACTGTGAATGCTTGTATCAGAGCAGTAACATTTGGCCTAACGTGTGGGCGACCTCTCGTATTGAATGAGCTGCAATTCTACCATATCAAAATTTAGACAGTTGCTATTTTACTCGTACACAAAATGTTAACAAAGAATTTAATTGGTTTATATAAAATTCCTCTGCTAGATTTTCATTATTTTTTCTTATATTCATACAACAGAATAATAATTGAGTTATGAATGAAAAAAAGAAGAGGGAATGAACTATAGAATAGTCTCGTAAACAGTTTTCTAGTTAACCGTTTTCTATGTTATAAAACTTCATTTCAAAGCATGAGACTAGACAATAGGACAGACTCATCTAGAGAGTTTGTGGGCTTGTAATTTTCTAAATGTTGTTGGACAATCATCAAAACTTACTAAAATCGTCATACTAATTCTCATAGATTCACCATAAAATAGTGTAGATACCGTATACAGACAATATACGTAGACCGTACCAGCATATAAACAATGTACTGTACAGGTAGAGGGAGTGCATGTAGGTATAGTCTATTGGTAAACAGTAATATAATAAGTGTTATGTACAGGTGATGAGCGTGTGAACGAGCAGCCAGCCTTGGCCTCCATGCACACGCTGTGGCTGAGGGTGCACGAGAACCTGGTGACTCAGCTGGCAAGGCTCAACCCTCACTGGGACGATGAGACCCTCTACCAGGTGAGTGACTATAGACTCCATCACTCTCAGGCACCAGATGATGACCATGATTCACTCGCGCCCTTAATTTCTCTTTTTCAATTTCTCACTCGCTTCCCTCCCTCACTCGCTCATATGTTATTTCAGGAAAGTCGTCGCATAGTAGTGGCGTTGATCCAGCAGACGACGTACCGAGAGTTCCTGCCACTGGTGCTGGGAGACAACCTTATGCAGGAGTACGACCTCTACCCACGAACAAGGGGCCTCTACGACACCTACGATCCCTCCGTCGACTCTTCCATCGCTAATTCCTTCGGCACCGCCGCCTACAGGTTGGTGGTGTGGGTTGACGGGTCGACTGTGCTCCATTTCCTATATGACTTTGAACTTAACCTACCCATTAGGATTGAATTGCAGTCCTGAGGGTTTCTCAGTGCTAATGGGTAGCTTAGTAAATGGGCTGCAGTGAAATAGAATACATGAGAATGGCTCCAGTAAGTTTGGAGTGTATTGAGACTGGGGAAGTAATGGATTAGATTAAGTTATAATTTTCAGGTGGTGACTGTACTTGGGGGGACACGTTATGTGAGGGAAGAAAGATGAAGAGGAAGATGTTATAAAGTTTTTAGAAGAGTTGTTTAACCAGTAGGTACATCTTTCACAGGTTCGGCCACACCCTGGTGAACGACGTGCTGAGGGGCTCCGGCAAGAACGTGACTCTGTCTGGTAGCTTCATGGACCCTCACGTGCTGCACGAATCGGGCACGAGTCCCTCTGACCTTCTGAGTGGCCTGGCCAACTCTCACTCCCAGGCAGCGGACTCGTACCTTGTACCTACCCTAACCAACAAGCTCTTCGCCCGCCCTGACGAGCCTGTGGGCCTTGATCTGATGGCTCTTAACATCCAGGTACTTTTCTTTACCTTGTGATGTTCAGAGATTCTCCACGATTTGTTTGTAACGAATATTAAGTATTGTTTATGGTGGATGCTTAGACGTGACCGATCGCCCAAGCGGCTAATGAGCCGATCAGTGGTGAAGAGGATAAAAGTAAAACAGTGACGGATATAAGCAAGTTTAGTATACTGAAGGTACCTAATTCTATATTTATGTAATTGGAGGTGGTAGAGTGCAGTGCTGGCCTTGTGTAAGTGTTAGGTCACTGTTGTATCCTCACTGCCCCTAATTCTTACCTGTGTTACCTTCCTGGTTGTTGTTACAGCGAGGACGTGATCATGGTCTGCCGCCATACACGGTGTGGCGGAAGGCGTGTGGACTGTCAGCTGTGTCCTCCTTCCCTCAGCTGGGCAAAGTCACGAGTCCCCAGGTGGCCTTCACCCTCTCCTCCCTATACGGGTGAGTGTCTCCCCCCTCACTTAATACCTTACTGCAGGAAAGTGCATCCTCCTCAGTGCTGTCTACTTACAAACTTAGCAGAGCACTGAGGTAAAATCTTGCCAGACAATTCCCAGACTGAACAAAACACGAGCAAGCAATTTCTCCCTCAATAGTCTCCCACCAGTCTGAGTTACTTAATCCTTTTTTTAAGTCGGATGGATTTTGTCTGCATAAGTAAAGTTAAATTTTGGTCTTCAGATGAGATTTTTTGTTCTGTGGGAAGTTGTTCAATGGGGTGCTGGATTTTATCATGAATTACTGTAAGTGTGGTAGTAGTGATAATGGTGGTGTACTCTTGCGAGTGTCACGATAAAAGTAAGGCTCAACTCGTGTTCCCCTGCAGGAGTGTCGACGACGTGGACTTGTTCCCGGCGGGGTTGGCAGAGACGGCTTTGTCCGGAGGTCTCCTTGGTCCCACACTCTCCTGCATCATCGCTCAGCAGTTCTCCAACCTCAAGAAGGGTGACAGGTTTTGGTACGAGAACCTTAATCAACCCAAACCCTTCGCAATAGGTATACACAGCCTGCACCTTCGTTCACCTCTGGGATGAGTGTTGTAACCTTGTAAACATTGATTGGGAGGGGGGGGGTATATACTCTGAGCATAATATCATGAGGTATTTGAGCATTATAGTGGTTAGAATATTTTGAGCCTTAATATAACGTGTTTTTATTTTTAGTACTGTACTATACTGCTATAAATATTTGAGTATAATGGTAGACGTTATATTTAAAGTGATTCATCATTTATATTCTCTATGCTTGTCTGTCTGTATCTGTCGCTACAGATAATGTGACGAAAATGTTATATAAATAGGAATTCCTCCCTCACTACCTTTCTCCTTCACATACACACTGCCTTATTTACTTCCTCTTCTTCCCTCCCTCACTGCTTGACTATTTCTCTCCATCCCTCACCCACTCACTCACTCCCACAGGTCAGTTAGACAGCATCCGACAGATAAGTCTGACAGGGGTGATGTGTGAGCACCTCCGCCTCTCTCACCTCCAGCCGCGACCCTTCCTCACTACCGAGGTTCCAGGGTGAGTGAGTGTGTGTGTGTGTGTGTGTAGTGTACTTGGGGTGTGTGTCAGGGATGTGTCTAGGGTGCCAGGGATGTGTCTGGGGATGTTTCCATATGCTGCAGTATTCATCATCCATATACATCCACAAGTGATGATCCTGACAATAACATGAGATTTCATTCGGGTAGATATTTTTTTCCTTTATTATTATTTTGTTGTTGTTTGTAAACTTGTGAAAAGAAGTGGTAACTGGTTCATATGATTCTTACTAAGCCCATTGAGTTGACGGGTCTATTTTATGGTCCGTATAAGTGAACCGGTGGAGTATATATATATATATATATATATATATATATATATATATATATATCTTTTTGACAGTTCATGGATGTTATGGTTCATGACTGGTTCAGTATTCATAATGCACTATTACTTTATGTCCAGTTCAATAATGTGGTTCTTAACAGTTCATTAATCCGAGTTAATGTAACGTTCGGTTCCATTGCGGTGGTTCGATGACTTTAACAATGTGTCGTGTTTTGCAGGAACAATCCTCGCCCTTGTTCCACCTACCAGCGGCTCAACCTGAGATTGTGGCGAGAGAAAGCGTCTATAGCATTCCCCACCCAACCGCCTATCACCCAGCCGCCAATTACGCCTATCACCCGGCCACCAATCACGCCTATCACCCCCATGTAAGTACCATTCCTTACTGCTACTAGGAGAGGTAGTCTTATTCAGTCACTTGGAAAGGTAGTCTTCCTTGGTCACTAGGAGAGTAACACACTACACGGAGGCACCACAGTCACTACTCGAGTCTCCTAGTTTTGATAATTAAATTGACTGTACATAATCCTGCCAACTTGAGAACATCCGGGAGGTGGTCTCGTGTGCCACCTCTCTCGCAGCCCCCACCCTCCTATATATCCAGCACTAATCATAATTACACAAATTGGATTACCGTATTTTGATTCGTCTTAGAGCGATGCAACAGTAGTCCTACAGTAATGACGTTAGGAGCCCATTTCATCGTCTAAGAATGCGTCTTCAGAATTTCATCGCATTTTGGACGTTTTTTTTTCCTTCAGAATTAGAATGTAATGAGTATTGTAGGTTAAACTTGTATCTTAAAACACAAGTTATTTTAATCAAATTTAGCAGATATAATTAAGAGAATAAATGGGAAAGAGGAGTTATGACCAGACAGGCAATCAGAGGAGGTATATGCAAGTCCTTTGTCCTATTATGTGCCAGACCTATTGGACGCATCTTAAGACCTACATAATCTTTTGTGAACATTAATTTACACGATTCCTGCAGGCTTGGTCCCCCCCTCACCTACACGACTACAGCAGGTCGACAACTAAGCATTGTTGACAATATATGGTCATAACATGGTGGCCTTTGATACTTGCAGGAACCACAGGTGCTTAGTCATTTTTTTGTATTTATTTATTTTGGATGCTTCAACTATCTGTCCGATTCCTCATGGCTAGCCAGCTCTAGTTATGTACAACACCACTTAACTGTTTAGCCTGGACTGTTAAAACCTGTTTCTCCAGGAGTCAATGTCATGGTGTGGGTGTGTGGACGAGGCTGCCGGGGATCGACCAGTGGTGCTCCTTCAATTGTTTTCACAGCGTCCCGTTCTGCCCGCCCAGCCACTGCAACTGCTCATCGTCTCACCCCAGACCTCCATACCTATAGTGCCACAACCACCATACTTAGTGCCACGACCACCATACTTTGTGCCACGACCACCATACTTAGTGCCACGGCCACCGTACCTACCGTGCCACGGCCACCACACCTACCGTGCCACGGCCACCACACCTACCGTGCCACGGCCACCACACCTACCGTGCCACGGCCACCATAACTACATTGCCATGACCACCCTAACTACAGTATGCAACCACCATAACTACAGTGCTACGACTACTATAACTACAGTACCACGACCATCCTGCATAAAATGCAAAGGCCACCATAACTACAGTACTACGATCACCATAACTACAGTGCCATGACCATCATACCTACAAAGTAAAAAGTAAATACCGCAACTCCTTCCTTCTTCTAAGATGGCACCTCCCTCCCTCCCTCCCTCCAAGAGAGTTGGGTTCAGCTTTAGTGATAATTTTGGACATTAATCTACCGAGATGAGTCGGGCTTTACTCAAGAGGTGTATCACAGTATAGTAAAGTCATGATGTATTTTGAACGTGTGTGTGTGTGTTTTCCCAACAAGTGATTTTCTGACTGTACAAACACCATACAAATGTTTTAGTTACACACACACACAGTCCAAAAACATCACCCTGTCAACTTTGAACCCCCTATAAAATGACCTCTCTGAACACTCCACTGTATAATAGTCCTTACTGAAATGTTTAGTTCTAATTTACTATACATCGTACACGTCTATGGACTCAAATGTTTAATAATAAGAACGAGACTTGACTGCAGACGTAACAAGTGGCACAGTGTTGTACTGATGGGGGACGTTTTGTGACAAAGGCAAATCTGTGTTGACAAGATAATAGCGAATCTGTGTTGAGGATAACTTGGTCTATATCTCCACATGTATTGTAGTTATTGTCCAGAAACAAAAATATGCTCGTCAGAATGTTAGTGTTACTTGAGCTGTGACCTTATTTATGTATAAAAAGTTCTGTGTATGGCGTTGTTTATATTCCCAAATTTATTTCCAATAGTAATCCTGTTCCCTGTGATCGGTACAGTATTACTAACACTATTGTACTTACTTATACAATATGATTCAATAATACAATGCACAGTTTAAATGTTAGACCAAGACTTCATAACAGGCTAACATAAAAAGTCTAATGACAAACAATGGAAGCTTCCTTCATAAAAAAATGGTGTAAACAACTACCGGTGTGTTAGGCTAATTTGTCAGCTAACAATGCACCAACAGGACATTTTCACCATATTTTCTAAATCTGAGAACAAGACAGGTTCCTCTCCCTTCATAATATCTAGACTAGTGCACCAAATATGATACTCGAAGGTATTATTCGTATAGTACAATAAAAAAAAATTAACTTAGTGATTGAACAGTACCATCTTTAGCTTATGGCTTGAACAGATGGTCTACAATTCTAGCTGCTTCTTTAAAGGTTTATCAGCTGTTTTGACCTGACCTCGTGGTGATCTCTTTCTACCTACTCCAACCAGCCAGCAACACCTCCACCTGCCTGGCGGTCCTCGCTCCCGCCGGAGAGCATGGCGACCCACAAGCTGGTCCTCCTCTGAGCATCCTCACCAACCAGCTCTCTCTTCTTCTAGCTACAGCCGAAGCAAGCTACACCTCCACCGCTGCCGGCGGCCCTCGCTCCCGCCGGCGAGCATGGAGACCCACAAGCTGTCATGTCCTGGAGTTGTGCCAGACTTGTGGAAACAGGCAAATGTAGTACCCATATTCAAAAAGGGAGACAGCATCAGCGTCAAATTACCGGCCGATCAGTTTGACGTCATTAGTGGGGAAATTTCTTGAATCAATTATAGCAGATCGCATCTAGAGAAAAGCAAATTAATCTACGACTCTCAACATGGGTTTACAAAGGGAAAATCTTGTCTAACAAATCTGCTAACGTTTTTTAAGAAAGTCTTCGAGGTAGTAGATAATGACGAAAATTACGATGTTATTTACTTAGACTTTAGCAAAGCATTTGACAGAGTACTGCATCAGAGGCTTCTGAGAAAAATTAAGGCTCATGGTATCGAGGGTAAAGTTTTAAATTGGATAAAATCATGGCTCACCGATAGAACGCGGAGGGTCAGCGTAGATGCTGTTAGATCTGAGTGGGGCCGTGTAACCAGTGAGGTTCCCCAGGGGTCAGTACTAGGCCCACTCTTGTTCATAATCTACATAAACGATCTAGATACTGGGATCAGCAGTGACATAAGCAAGTTTGCGGATGACACCAAAATAGGGCGGCAAATTAATTCAGGGCAGGATGCAAATGCACTACAGGAGGATCTAAATAAACTGCAGGGGTGGTCTGAAAAATGGCAAATGAAATTCAACACAAGCAAGTGCAGCGTACTTAATATTGGAAGAACAAATACTGACAATGTATACAGCCTTAACAACATCAACCTAGAGAAGTCGACTTGTGAAAGAGACCTAGGGGTACTTGTAAGCCCGGACCTACGGCCTAGAAAACAGTGCGTTAATGTTCGAAATAAGGCAAACAGAGTATTGGGTTTTATATCTAGAAGTGTAAGTAACAAGAGTGCAGAGGTCTTATTGCAACTATATCTTGCGCTAGTCAGGCTGCACCTCGATTATGCGGTTCAGTTCTGGTGCCCATATTATAGAATGGATATCAATTCACTAGAGTCGGTGCAGCGAAGAATGACAAAAATGATTCCTGGACTTAGAAACCTTCCATATCAGGCTAGGTTAAAGAAACTTAACTTGCATTCCCTAGAAAGACGAAGAGTGCGGGGAGATATGATAGAAGTATTGAAGTGGGTGAAAGGAATCAATAAAGGGGATATAGATAAAGTTCTTATAATATCCGAGCAGGATAGGACTCGGAGCAACGGATTCAAGTTGGATAAGTTTAGGTTTAGGAGGGAGATAGGAAGAAACTGGTTCACAAATAGGGTGGTGGACGAGTGGAACAAGCTTAGCAACTTTGTAGTAAGTGCTGGAACTCTGGAAAGTTTCAAAAGGAGGCTAGATAGATTCATGGATGATAGAGAGTGGTAGTAACTCTCGACAGGAGCTGCCATGCACAGGCCAACCGGCCTATTGCAGACTCCTTATGTTCTTATGTTCTCTGAGCATCCTCACCAACCAGCTCTCTCTACATCACGCTTGTAACCACGCTGCCACTTCCCAGCACCAAGCTGCATTGTACATCCAATACAACATGTATACAGAGAGCACATTGTGAGTTTCCTTTCTCCATCCCCTCCTGAGTGTGAACCCAAACATCCCATACCCAGGGTTGCCAACTCGGATTTTCAAATGTCGCTAGGCTGGTACCTAAAAGTAGCTAAATGTCGCTAAATCTTCCATGAAAAGTCGCTAGCTATTATTCCCCCCCTTCAGTAATTTGATGCAAATAATATTTTCATAATGCCGACTATAATGGACGGAGTATAAATAAAATGCATTATGTAAAAATAAAAATATTATTTTTTTTAAAGTTTAATGTGCACACTTACCTATTATTCAATAGTAATTGCATCCCAGTCCTCTTCGTAGTGTGAACAACTGTAGAGCTGGAAGCATGTGAAGTGCTTGGTTCAGGTTCTCTTGTAACTGTATGCCTCCACAGTCCCTATCTTTCTTAAAATATCACTAGGAAGTTCATAACAGGTGTTCTGTCTTTTTAACCCATACTTTATTGTAAGAATTGCCTTTAATGTCGATAGTTTCATTTTGTTGCGCAATTTTGATTTCACAAAGTTCATATTACTAAATGTGCGCTCTACATCTGCGTTTGAATGCGGAAGAGATAAGGCAGCGAGTGCAATTTCAGCCAGATCATGGTAAGGGTTTTCACCTGTCGCATCTCTGTAATTTGCCACTTCTGACCACAATTTTAGGGTGCAGTGGCGGCTCGTGAAAAATAAAATGGAGGGACTGCAAGCCTCACACAACAGTAGGATACACAAATTTGACCTACCTCAGGTATGAGTTGTAGTTGATGTCCACGAATTCCCAGGGCATGGTAGTAGTGTTGGTGGTGATGGACCAGTATTAATTGAAAATATAGTCCGCGTGTCTGCTCTTCGATGTAGCAAAATTGTTTATTACTATTTCATTAAAATCCTTTATTTCTGTTATCATTTTATTTTCAATGGATATCACTGCTAAAGCAGACAGTCTGTCATTCTGATAAACACTGATGTTAAACTGGCGTGTATATTCTTTGTTCCTGCTTGTACTGTTCTGTTGAATGGATAAAACTGGTGTAGGTCTTCCTCTTGCTTTGATTTCAGTCTTTTCATTTAATGTCAGCTGGGAAAAGTTGATGTTTTGCAAATACTTCACTCGATTTTCCATCGTCAGAGGGTAATTAAAGAAAGCACGATTTAACCACACCGTCCACACGCAATGTAAACACGAGACTGAGCTGCTTCAAGTGCGGCGGCGGCGCCAAGTAATAACAGACATCAATCGTACAGCATTGACAGCAACTTAAATTTTGGTCTGATTTTAATGAAAATTCACTTTGCAACGTATTGAAAATAATTAAATAACATATAAAATGATATATTTGTTGGTAGTGTATTATTCAGCTGTCTCTCTAAAGGAATCATACGCCTGGCAGTGAGTGTCTGGGAGGACTGCACGAGCCGCCACTGTTAGGGTGTTAGATGCATGGACGGGCTGACATCAAGTGATCAGGAAATAGACGTGTCCCTCCTTCTGTACCACGACCCATTCAAATGTATTAAACTTTTCTTATTATTTGTTGTCCCTGTAACCCCGTTGCTATATATTATGGCTCGAAATTAGGAAAACTGAGTTTTCATGGACAGTCCAAAAGTATCCAGAAAGTCGCTAGATTTCTGTGGATATCTCTAGATTTGCGACAAGTCGCAAATCGCTCTAAAGTGTCGCTAGAAAAAAACAAAAAGCTCTAGATCTAGCTACAAAGTCGCTAAGTTGGCAACTCTGCCCATACCCAACAAATGGTGACCCCGGAGTGACCATGCGTTTGTAGGGGAGAAATCCTCTACAACAGGGGTTCTCAACCAGGGGGGAATTTCCCCCCTCAGGTTTTCAGGGGGGGAACTGATACTAATATGGAAAAAATAAAGGATTTTCAGTATTATATGCATATTATTTGGAATGCACTTTTTGAGGCAGACAATCTTGGAAAGGAGGGGGAATGACATTCTGACATATGGTGAAAGGGGTGCATGGGGCAAACAAGGTTGAGAACCACTGCTCTACAATATAACCAATTACATTTCATTTAACAGTATAGACGTGATCTATATTTTTATTCTGATTATATAATATATCTTTAGTGTTTAATCTCTATTCATGTGATATTTTCTATGTAATATTATTTTATTTTAAATTTGGTAATGGGTAAAGTGAGAGTTGTCGTCTGCTGTCAGTACAGTATAGATAACTAACTGTCAAACTCATAGAGTGTTGGAATGTTTTAACGTGAACATAAAGTCTTAAGTTGCCTCTGTTGTTTATTCTGATCCTTTACATTCGTGTATGTAATGGAGTGTATTTGTAATGTGTTAGTATGGCTTCTTACCTTATAACATTGTAAAGTAAACAGAGATGAACATTTTAACAAGAGGATGCTGAGTTGGCATGAGGATAGTTAAAGATAGCTCAACAGGGACGCCTAACTGCACCATTATTTGAGTTCGTTCGTAAACCACTTTAATACAACATGAACATAGGAGAGGTGAGACCAATTCATATATATTATCCTTTTTATTTATGTAAAAATAAAAAATTACGGTTTTTAAATGTGTATAACTATATCACTGGAAATATAGTTGCCGCTACTCTTCATATGTTCACTTTCGTTCTCTAGTAGTTTGGATTATTCTGACCTTCATTTCTATCGCAAATGACTACATTTTGTGATTTTCCCCTACCCAAAACCCCATTTGTTGCGATTTTCTCTGAAAGTAAATCACGAGCGGAAGAAAATGCTATTGAAGAAAAGTGTCTTAGAATTGTCTAAACTATTGATTCCCAAATTTAACATCCAAAAATTCGCTGGATGACCTAAACAATAATTTTACCAATTCAATTAATCTACCAGTGATGTGTTATTCACCTGCCACTTATGGGTAATATTGCCTTCAACTGTTATCTATATTTACCCACCAGTTGTATTAACCTGCTATCTATATTGTGTTTACCTGCTATATACCAGCATATATTATGCTTATCTGTCAATAAAGTTGTCCATCTGCTATCTATATTATGTATATTTGTCATTTGTGCTTTTTTACCAGTTACAAGTTTAACTTTTAATTGTAATATAAGTTAAAATATTAGCTCTTGACGTCCTAACATTGTGTTTTAAAGTACTGTAGAGTGAGCACCTTGACACATACAACACACACATTATCATTGAGCTTCAACATCTAAGGCCGCGGCCGCACTGAGAGCAGGTAGGCGAGAGCGGGCAGGTGCAGAAGACTTTGCAGCATTGTAACCCATAGACGTGGCCGCACTGGCAGCGGGCGCGAGCTGGCAACAACATGTGCCCGCTCTCAGTGCGGCCACGGCCTAACGTCTTTAAGTATGAGACAAGGCTAGTGATGACACTTGTCCATCAACAAGTGAAAATATAAGAGGTAAAACTCTCTTACACACAAGAATGATATAAATGTTTTTATGCTAAAGGTGTACTTATAGGTTACTACTTTATCAATGTTTTGTCTTTTTCCATATTTTCACGAAATGTTTGTTTTAATGTACATAATATGGATTAACAAAAAACTACTTTTAATTTACTTAAGAAATAGGTAGTGAACTATGTGCCTCATTCAGTAAAGTTAAAGAAACATCTTGGAAGCATGATTTGAGCAGAAAAAATTTTCAGTATAGAATCTATTTTCAGCTAGTACCGACAAATCCCTTTTCAAAATAATGTAGAAAGACTGTAGAGTTCGTTACATTAAGCATAGAAAAATTTGGTAGGATTAAGCATGCAAAGTAATTTGCCAATTTTCACCTGATTTTCATAAACTCTGCTAACACTTTCTACATTATTCGATCAGTATGATTTATTGTTTCTAAGTATTGTTTATGAAGTCTTAAGAAACTTTTGGTTAATAGCTGTGTGCCACTAAACTTAATATCTACAAATCTTGAAATATTGCGCTGTAACCTGTCATGTCTTGGATGAGTTAATGCTCATGTTATGGATTACATAGTGTTTGCTATGGTCATGTTATATCTTTATTAAAAAATACTGCACTGGATACTTTGCCAAGACTGTCTAAGTTGTTATTTGTGCTATATTACCATGAGTGCGCTTTGATTGGCTAATTGTCCATTACCGGCAAACAAAACGGTGGTAAATTTACAGTTTTAGCCCCAATGACTGTTTAACCATAATTTTTTTTTCCCATGGTATTTGGTGTGATTCATTCGAATTTGACCTTCATTTCTGTCAGAAATGAGTTGTTTTGGACTTATCACACACCCCCTCATACAACCTGACCTAACTAACCAAAGAAACTACTTAACCCTACCTAACTTCTTAGCTGTCCCCTCCATATTAAACAAAAGTACTTATTTTGATATCTGGTACCAATGAAAGCAACAATGTTAAAGCATCATGGTGTAATTTTACATTTTTTGTGGATGTGAGAGTATGAAGACCGAGCGGGTTGGCTGTGACAAACAGATGACATGTGGTGACTGCAGATTTGCGTTAATTTCTTATGTGATTTTACTATCTTGGTTAATATCCATTTGCGACGGAAGTGGTACAGTATCAGACAAAGTTGTTCCTATTGACGAGATATAACTAATGGTAAACATAAAATTGCCCTAACCAAGTTGAGGCTGAAACTGCAAAAATACGCAGAGCGCAGTCAGGGTAAAATAGCATTAGTAGGAACTTAGCCAGTCACGGCAAAATATCTTCTGTGTTAATTGTATTATAATTATCAGAGAATCCCCAGTCCAGTCTTATAACATTCCATTGTACAGATAGCATGTTATATACAGTACAGTATACAGGTAATATATTTTTGATACAGCACTATATGGTTAGTGGTATAATGTAGTGCTGGTTTCCTGTCCTAAGGGTCTTTGGTTCATGCTTGGAGCACCCCTACTCCTACCACTTGTGAATGGATAACAACTTTACATTTGAGGAAATGAAGGCAGTCGAGTGAAGTATGAGCTACACTCCCTTTTTGTCTTCAGTGTGTTGTATCTGCACTTCTTCTAATGGGCAATCAGGCTAATGGGACTCACTTTCAGTGTACAGTACAGTATATTGTATTAATGTATGGTACATTAAAAGGGTGTCATTTGATTTCTTGATGTTCAAAGACTTAAATTAAGATTCTCACAAATATTCATACAAACAGTATAACCCAAACTCTCATAATTGGTGGCAAGATGAAAGCTGTGATTGATATCTTTGCATCATGGTATTTAGTTGTTAAATATCTTGACCACTTTTAGTATTCCTGTTGCTAGATATATTCCATGATGAACTTCCTTTTGGTTTGACAAAATGTTGTGTTTAAGATATTTTATGCTTAGATAAAGACCACTCTGAGTGAGGTTATTGTTTGCAGCTGGTGCAATATCTAGACTATCTTAAGCCTTGAGCTAGGCTTGTTTGGTCCGACACATCATGAAGAGTGAACGTCAGGAAGAGGAGCGTAGACTTGAGGTTAGTTAGGATTATATAATTAGCTTTCTAAATACTTATTCCGTTGTTAACATTGTTAATGTGCATGTCTTGTGCAACACTTGTTGATAATTAAATTTTACTCCAATAAAAAAAAAATTATTTATTTATATACAGTATGTAGATTATGTTACATTTTTCTTGTGCCTGGAAATTTAATTGCTGAATAGACTTATTTACAGGAGATAGTCATTTCCTTAGATATAGTATGTTTATCACAGTATTCTGAGGTGAGGTTGTCCCCTCAAGGTACTGTACTGTAGTGGAGCTGAACTGTTGACCCTTACAACACAAGCATGAGAGTACTGTAGTAATATGTACAGTATGTCTATTTTTATATTAATGGCTCTGTTTTGGTGACCACATTCACTGCACAATGATACATTTCCAGAGAAAAAATTAAATACAGTATTGGAGAATAGCAAAAAATTGAATTACAAATTTCTAGCCAAAAGTTTTTAAAATTTCCAAATGTAAGTCATTACCAGAACTTAACACTTCTTTATAACTTACTGCAATAAAAGCTTTGAATACCATTTTTCTTTACTGGTGGATGGCTTTGAGCACAGTTTTCCCAATAACCCTTTCTGATGTAGCTCTACTACTCATGTTTGTGTGACTAGATCTAATTCTTCCTCTACATTGCCATCTTAAGTTTATCATGTCTCAACCATGGGCATTAGCTGTGCCTCTTCCCCACAATCAAGTTTGTACCAAGAGAAACTAGTGTTTGGTTGAGTTAGGGGATTAATGCGGTCATTTTTATGAGGTGAGGTAAGTAACTTCAGGTAACTAAGGTTAAGGCTCTCCTGACTCTAGGCCCGGCAGTTTGACAACGGCAGTAAAATTAGGACAAGTCATATAGAGCAGATCATTCATCCAGCTAATATAAGTAATATCTGTTAGCCAGAACAATTGGTGCAGAGCACTTCCAGGAATGAGAGATTTCCAGGTAATGAGACGACTCTCTCAAAGCAGGTAAGAAATCCCTCATCCCTGGAATTTTCCGGGTAACAGAAAAATGTTCTTGGAAGTTCCACAAATTGCCCATTACATCATCTCTCAAAGCCATAAAAATATACCCCATCCCCGGAATTTTCCAGGTACCGTACTGGAAAATTTTTCTCGGAATTTCCAGAAAGTGCGCTTGATTTTCATCTCTCGACCCCGGAAAAAAAACCTCCCCCTTCCCTGGACTTTTCCGGGTACAGTAGGGTCGGGATATATAGCGACTTTAAATAAAGATTTTTTTTGTATCACGGCTACCAAAATTATCGACATTTTACTATACAGTACAGTCAACCCTCGTTTTGCGCGGTCCCACTTTACGCGTTTCCACGTTTACGCGGTACCCTGCCGAAACTGGAATGCTCACTTTCCGCGGTGTGTGTACCCTTTTACGTGGAGAGCGGCGCGAGCAGGGTGCGCACAAGGTCGCCCAGTCATCAAAACATTACCGAGTTCTTCACCCGCCACCCACCACAGCCGGCCCAAGTCAGTGATAGTGATAATGATAGTAAGGATATGGACTTATATGGACTTTGAGGGGTTTGACAAAGAGGCCCTGCAAGCCTCTGTGGTGGATAGTGATACAATTGATACAAGTGATACAGGTGAGGGCCAATAATCTGCCCTCTGCCTCGGAACCAACCCCCCATCCCCGTGTGCCCAGCCATCTTTTCTACTAATGTAAGTGTTAAAAAACCTAATATTTTTGATATCCCTCTCAATTATTAATTGTGTGTGCATACCATCATAAAATTAAGAAGTTATTTTTACTACAATGTAGGTATTGTGTCCGAAAAAGTGGAGTTTGGGGAAAAGGCAAAGAATAAAATTCTAGAATTCACAGCTTTTTCTTTAAAACTGCTCGTTTTGATAAATGAAGCATGCTATATTTGCTAATGAATAAACTATCAAAATGTACCTGTTCATCTCTTCTTTATTCCTCCTTAAATTTGAATTTTAAAAGTACTGCCTGAGAATCCGGAAAATCCGAAAATCTGGACTGTCCCAATCCCCAAGCAGTCCGGATTTTTGGACTTCTACTGTAATACCAATAAATAGGTTACAAAAAAAAATACTGTATTGCTAAACCAGCAAATAAAAGCCAAATCAAAGTTTAACACAGTCGCCATTTGCAAATACATCTGTACTCCCTGCTTCTCCATCGCACCGGAGGCGCTACCTCCTCCGATTCCCTAGCAACGCTCCCCCCACCATCCACCGAGCCCCTCTTCCCGCTCCCCCACTGAGCCAGCTAACTTGTGAGCAAAGAAATGTATATTCCCTTTATGCATTTGTCCTTAAGACAATTATTTCTTTTACTTTTTTCACAATATGTATGTATGATGGTGTGTGCATGTAACTGAGTAAAAATAAATGAAAAAGTTATGTATATCTACCCGAAAATTAGAGTTGAAAAACAACCATAACACCTCACAGCCTGGTCTAGTAGCCTGGTGGTTACAGTGACGAGTTTAACCTGGCTACAATGTCGCCAGCGGTGTTAACAGATGCAAATGTGAAAAGAAAGTTAATTGTAAATCTTCATTTTATGTCAGGTAATTGTAGATTGAAAAATAAATGTTGCAGGTCATGGCATTAATAGATTGTAATGCTTGTAAGAGTTCAGAAATGGTTACTGCTTAGCTACCTCTGAAGAGTTGGGTGTCTGCTGCATGGACTTTAATCGTCTCAGGTTATCATCATCAGTACAGTAGTTATAAATCGAGCTTTTATATTTACAATAAATATTTTTTTAATTAATTAGAAAAATAATAATGTGTTTAAGTAAGTAATAATATATTTTTAATTCTGGAATTGGCTTAGGTAGAATTTAGTCTACTGGAGACAGCAACTGGGGGATTTATTAGCTAATGGGAGACTGCAACATCACATATAGGACACAGGCTGATTTTTTTAGTCATTTTTCTGACAAAAAGTGTCTCTTATGCTGTAAAATATGGTAATAGAATATTCCAGTTTTAAGGCTGAGGGGATGAGAAGAGTGATCAGATTTCCTTCTCTCCTCCTTTAAACAGCTATAAATTGGCAGGTACAGTAATTAGTTAGATTAAGGTGCAGTCCTCCTTTTTTATGGCTGAAAATAGTTTAGATGCAAAAACCAGATTGAAAGTTCAAACTCCTGGCCTGATTGACCTCATTGGTTACTTAAGACAACCATTGGATCATAGGTCCAGAATGCTGCTCTGCCTGAGTGAGAAGCTGTTATTCAGTACAGGTGTACCAGTATATTCCACATGGATAATGTTTCAGTTTAACAAACCAAACACTGACAATGATAGGCTCTGTCAACGGTTTTGTAGTGGTGGTAGATGTTATACGCCAGTTATCTTGCGCCCTTGCACATAAAATGGGATTTTATATATAATCCTTAATTTATGCTCTTCTGATCCAGTTTGTATCTTGCATGCTGGCAGCAAGTTCTTTGTGTGTGTATTTAAAGACTTAAACCAGCTAGCAAAGGCGTGCGTGCATGCCTGCCTGGCTTTTCTCTTGTATTATGTTTTGGAGGAGTTTGCATGTTTCAGCCTGACTAAATTTTTTTATATAAAATGTGTACAATTGATATAGTAACTTAATGGGATTAATATTCTCCTATATGGAAAATAGCAAACTTTAAGTACTGTATATGCTATGGGTTTTTCCCCAGCTATTGCCCAGTAGTGGAATTGTACTATACAGTTCATGTACAGTATTACCTTCCTATTGTCACAAATGCATCTTGAAAGAGAGAGAGAGAGAGAGAGAGAAATTGATTTCAAACAAGTTTTCATTCCATAGGTACGAGTAGCTGATGACCGTGATTTTGAGCGATTAAAGCAGCTTTGTGACTGTCATGATGGCTGGAGTCTGGCTTATGATCATCCACCTACCAAAGTCTACACCAGACCTACCAAAAATTCCACATTTCAAATGATCAAGGTACTGTACTTTACTGTACAGTAGTCTGTGCACTTAATATTTTTATTATAATACTACTGTACAGTATATTGAATAACTTAACTGTTTGATCATAAATATTCATCATTCATAGTATTTTTGTTTAAATTTTATGTTTGGGGGGAAAAGTGATTCCATGGTGTAATTGTAATATTTAAACTTAATTAATTGTAATTTATTAAAAAAATACTTATTTGTGTAATTGCAATGAATCACATTAATACAATGCTGGCCTCCTGGTTTGTACCCAGGGCAATCCTAGTCCACCCAGGTACAGTACCTAACATAGATGGTGTTCCCATAAAAGAAAAGGCATTCGATCTTTATGCACACTTTACAACTAGTCAGAGGTCAAGCAGTTTCAAGCAAACAAAAATCTTCAATCCAAGAATTTTATTTAGAAAATGTCTAATACTGTACAGTAGATACAGTACTGTACTGTATCAAGTTTGCCCAATGTGAATTTGTTCAACATTTAATCTTCTAGGGTTCTAATACCTGTGTTAGACAGTACTCTAATGTACAAATGAGGTCACAGTGATTGTACTGTACTGTTGTTTTTATTAAAACTTTTCATTCTTACTTTTTTATGTTAACTACTATCTGTACTAGAATTATTTCATCCAAGATAGATGCCAGGCCTCTCAGTAGAATAATTCAGTGTTATATAGTAAAGAGTATTTACAGTATAGTACTGTATTAGTGGGTAGAAAACTATGGAAACATTAGAGCTTCGTAATTTGTCACATTTTCTTTTGTTGAGTCATGTTAATTATTTTGTTTCTCTACCAACAGGTGTGCACAGTGTACAGTGATATAGATGCCAATGTGTTGTATGATGTTCTACATGATCCTCACTACCGACAAATATGGGACAAACACATGATTCATTCTGTCGATGTTGGCTACCTCAACCCCAATAATGATGTCTCCTACTATGCAAGTAAGTCTTTAAGGAAGTATTTTTTGCTCCATGAGTCTACTGTACTCTGTGAATGCCTTCCTGGACTGACTGAGAGAATAATTCTTCCAGTTCTGTGTTTCTCCTTATCTGCTGCCTCCACAAGCCTGCTCACACTATGTGCTTCTTACAACCACCTGGCCATCACATGTCCACAGCTGATGACCAATAATTGGTTGTTGTTGTTATTGTTCTGATAACAGACCAAAAAATTTTCTAACATATTTATTATCACAAAAGCATATCCACTTTAAGTTGTTGAAGCCACTATTTAGAACACTTTTCAGTACCTTTAGTGCATAATTTTGTTTTTATCTCTTTAACCCTAGTGGTAGATGGCAAAATTTAACTGCACTTAATTGAGAGAGAGACCAGAAATTAACAGGATCTTATCAATATACTGTCCATATACTTTTCATTAGGTGATATTTCCCAAATATAACTGAAATTTCTTCTGGTACTGTAACCTTGTAAGTGAATTTTATCATCCAAGATTTTTTTAATGTTTGGTATTGAGAAGGTTTCCTGATAACCATTTGAAATTTTATACTTTCAGTATCCTGTCCAACGCCTTTAAAGAACCGGGACTTTGTTCTCCAGCGGTCATGGCTAGATACAGGCAGAGAGTTATATGTTCTCAACCACTCTGTGTTCCATCACAAGTATCCTCCAAAGAAGGGTTTTGTACGGGGCCTCTCCCACCTCACTGGTAAGATGTCATTTAGGTAACTTTTTACTTTGGGACATGAGTCCCGAGGGGTTGATCAATATGTTTTTCCAGTGTACAGTAGTACCCCGCTTAACGCAGTCAATTGAACCCACAGGGTACCGTGTTTAGTGAAAACCGCGTTAAGTGAACAACATAACATATGGGATTAATTCCAATAGAGACTGGCCGGACCCCTAAACTCTACTTTTTCCAACACAATACCTGTGTTCTAGTAAAAATAACATCTTAATTTTATGATGGTACATGCACACAATTAATACTGAAGAGAAATAGAGAAATACAGTCGCCAAGTTAATGTCCATTCAAATAATGGACTCAACTCCCTCCCCCTCTTCTCACACTACACTCACTGGCTCTTCCCTCTGAGAAATTTTGGGGGGAAAACCACTAAATTTTAATAAATAATACCTCGAACTAAAGTTAGGATAATACAATTGACATTGCTGGATTCCTTGTAAGACCAGGAATATTTTGAATATAAATGTCATATATTTTGCACAAAAGATAACATCTTGATAAAATCACACGGGAAAATGGAAACAACGGAGTACCTTAGCTTTCGTCTTTATTCAAGACATCTTCAGAGGCAACTAAGGTACTCCGTTGTTTCCATTTTCCCGTGTGATTTTATCAAGATGTTATATTATCCACCTTTTCATTGTGGATTTACATGAAAAGATAACATATTTACTCAAGAGTAAACATTTTATCTAAAATTTGTATGTCTAATGCAAAATCTATGATGTTTATATTCAAAATGATCACCAAATTGTAAGAATTCCAGCAATGTAAATTATATTCTGAGCGGGTAATTTGTATGAATTTTATGAGCTAAAACAAATATCTTCAGTTAAAAAAAATATATATATATATTCTTCACACATAACAGATGGTCGGTCGGTCCCTCCCTCCCCCCACCTCCCACCAACTCTCCCTACCAGATGTGTGGGAAAACCAGAATATTTACGTTTTTAGTAATATATAATACCTCAAACTAAAGTTAGGATAATATAATTGACATTGCTGGATTCTTTGTAAGACCAGGAATATTTTGAAAACAAATGTCATATATTTTGCACAAAAAATAACATATTTACTCAGAGTAAACATTATATCTAAAATTTGTATGTCTAATGCAAAATCTATGATGTTTATATTCAAAATGATCATCATATTGTAAGAATTCCAGCAATGTAAATTATATTCTGGCCGGGTAATTTGTATGAATTTTATGACCTAAAACAGGCAGGCAGGCAGGCAGGCGGGTGGCTGGTGGGGCGAATCTAAAAATAGCATCTCGAGCCGAACACCCTGCGCGTATACGTGGAAAAAACCCGCGTTAAGTGAAAGTTCGGCTCTGGCGAGGCACCGCGTATACGTAAAATCGCGCTAAGCAAAACCGCGTTAAGCGGGGTATTACTGTATTTTGGTGTATTTTAAACGAATCTGACCTTCATTTTTGGCAGAAATGGCTAGTTTTTGCTCCCTTCCCCTCCCACAATAATGGGGGGAGAGCCTGGGAAAACGGGGTTTTTGGGTTGGGCAGAAAATGAAAACTAGTCATCTGACCTAACAAAAGCTAACCTAACTCCTAGCCGTGAGCCCCCGGCAGGCCTAACCTGACCCCTAGCCGGGTGCGGACCCCCGGTAGGCCTAGCTTAAACTAACCTAAATATTTCAGTAGTTAAAAACTTTGGGGCGCGCCATGTCCGAAAGTTCAATACCTTTTAGAAGTGGAAGGACCAGGGATACTTAAGAATTGGTAGAATAATCGTCTTTCTCGTAAAACTCGGCAATACCTGTAAACTTAAAATAATCGTAGGAGCACAAACGACAACTTGCCTCCACCATGGCCATTGTGAAACTGGTCAATGAAATTAAAATCATACCCAGGGTGCTTCCTTTGAAAAAAATCAAATGTGATTGGTCAAAAAAAAATTTGCGTGATGATATCGATACCTCATTGGTCACGACTGGATGGTGTCAGTCAACATTGCGCATACGTGATGCACATATAACATCTCCTAACAGAGACGAAGACTTAAAACTACGGAAGATCAATTAAATTCAATTGTGTCGCTATTGTCCATTTCCGCCATGTATATACAGTATGGGATTCAAAATGCTCGGAATAGCGAGATCTAAATGTTTGAGTAGTTTATAACTTTCGGGGGCGCTATGTCCGAAAGTAAATTAATAGCGTCATTTACCTTTCATTTTAGAATGGCTTGATACTTGAAATTAAGGCAACCCTGGTAATTAACTTCGTAAATTCTTCTGCGTCACCCTTGCCTGGTCTTCAGTGGTTACACAACAAAGCTTTTAAAAACTTATATTGTTTTTATGTACTACCGTATACATATTTGTACAAATCAGTTATTGTCCTGTGAACCCCCCCCCCCCTCCAGTCATCTAGACTACAGTAGTAATTGGGAAAAATGTGGTCTGGACTACAGTATTCAAAATGCTATAAAAGTGTTTGGAAAAGAATGTTACACATATAAATGCATAATGAATTTGTGCAACCCAAAATAGTGCTTACTGTATTTACCACTACATAAGACATGCATCCCCCCCCCCCTCCCTCCTCAACAAAAAGTCTCCAAAAATCATCTTATGTCTTACATGTAACCTTTGGACTTTGGAGTTACCTTTTGTTCTAATTATAATTTTCTAGTTAATTTTAAACATTTTAATCTCTTGAAATAACTTGGAACTATTTTCTCTCGTGATTTTATATACTGTAGTACAGTAAACTAAAAAATCTCTACAGTAAGTGAGGATAACAGGAACACCTTGTCCTGCAACTGTACGTACCTGTAGTAGTCACCAAGATAAATGTGAATAAATCCTGTTTGAACTTGTTTACTGAGCAGCTTAATATTTTTACATGATCATTCTTATATGAAATACTTATCAAAAAAGAATGAATAATTAATGATACCACCCTGCAAAAGAGAGGGAGACAGACAGACAGAGAAAGAGAGAGATGAAGAAGATTAATAGGGTGTAAGAGTATGAGTAAGAAGAAAGAGTATCAGTAGAAAAAGTAAGAAGAACCATTTTAGATAATTTATATGGGTTAAAAGTATTATAAAATGAAGACCTTTGTGAATGTTTGCTCAGAGGGCCTCACTGGTGACAGATTACAACTGATGCCATACAGTCACCAGGTCAGCTGGCTAGTCTGGATTAGCCCAAGTCCGGGCCACTGGGGTCTGGATTAACTGTATTTACACAATCTTATACTGTACAGATTTGTTAAGTAAAGAAAAACATGAGTATACATGTTTATTTTCCAATGCTATCCATAGCTTTGTGTATGTCAAGATAATTTTAATTGTACACTGTCCAATACTGGTTTTAAGGAAAAATTGCATTTACAGTCTCTCCTCGACTTACGACGGGGTTCCGTCCCGACGACCAGGTCGTAAGACGAAAATGCAAAAATAATACATAGAAATTCTAAATTGGGTGTCTCTTTTTCTTCTCAGCACCACGAGAACTCTCACTTTTACGCTTGCCAGCCATTTTAAAGGGAATTACAAACGAAATTTTGCCAGTACACAGCGCAATCACTAACGTCTGGACTCGAAAATACGTAATGTGAAAAATAGTTTACATGATCATGGCCGTCGTATGTCCGGGTTGTTGTAAGTTGAATATGTCGTAAGTCAAGGAGAGACTATATAATGAATTGAGTTTCCATCCATTTCATAAAAATGAGATTTAACTGTACAGTACAGTATAGTATTTACCAGAGTGTGACATGGTGGTTTTGCTAAAGGTGATTTCAGAAATCAATCTTCCATTTTTGACCTAAGCCAGTCTAGAATGAGTCATAAATATGGGGGTGTTGGTGGTGCAGCAGTAATGTGTGTAGTATCCCTCACCACAATGTCCTAGATTCAAGTCCTAATTCCTTAAACTTGCTTTTAGAATTATGTTGTGTTGTAGACAAATATACAGGTATTTTGTCCATCATTCACATACCTCACTCTAGTACTTTGGGTGTACAGTATTTATATATTCTATTGAATTCTTTAATTTGGCATATTTCAGACACCATGAGACTAATGTGTCTGGTAGAAGAAATAGAAATTTACATGCAATACTATACTGTATTCAATTTATTTGTACACGTATTGTGCTTGTAAGATAGATTTTGATGAAAGAAAACTGGTTATTTAGCAGAGCTTTTGTTTGAATTGATTATACATTGCAGGAATGCTGATGACAAACATTACTGAATAAGAGAACAGTATTGTCCTTATCTGTATATAGCATTGATGAAGTCGCTTTATAAAAAAATTTCTATGCTTGACATTGTGCTTTAAATTAGCGAAAAGTATTAAGACCTGATTTTAGAGAACATGTAAAGGTCTTTTATTCTTGAGAGATGTAATTATTGAAGGGACACTGCAATGTGTTTTCCTGTAAGAGTAGACCCTTACATCCAAGTATGTCCATCCATAGGCTACCTGATTCGCCCACTACCTTCTGGTGGGTGTACCTTCAGCTACGTATCTCACTGCGATCCCAGAGGAAAACTACCACCTTGGCTTGTCAACAAACTAACACATGTGCTTGCTCCTAAGGTAACCCTCGGTACTTCCACACCTTACATACTTCTTTACCAGTACTAATGTTTTATCTTATAATATGATAGTCATTCTTCCTGTGTTCCTCTGCTTGATGGTTCTCTACAGCTATTTGCATGATTTATGTCATCTTTTAAGATCTTAACTAATTTTCTTTCATGCTTTTATTATATGTTTCTTAAGAATTTGTTTGGTAAGTGTTTTGCTGTTTACTGAGTAGCATTTTATACTGTCTGTGTATATTAGTGTCTTTTAAGTAAGTGTGTGGCTTTCAAACTGGTCTTCAGAATATTGGCTGGATAATTTATAGAATTCTACTGAACAATAACAGGTTTTTATGATGGGTTGTCTCCTTTTATGACCTCTTGGCCATTGCCCACTGCTAAGTGACTTGTGTGTTATACCACTATGTTTGTGGGTGCATTGGAAACACAAGCTATCCCTACCTCTGTTTGCTGTCCTGAAAAAACAATTGTTAAGTGAATTTTCATATCTTGAATAACAGAACATATGGCCTGTTGTCCCTCGGTTAACGAACACAATTCGTTCCAGAAGGTCGTTCATTAACCGAAAATTTCGTTAACCGAAACCATTGTTTCAATGGGATATTGGGTAATTGGTTCCAGCTCACAGAAAAGTATATACAAAGTACAGTGGGGTATGCTATAACGAACGGATCCTACTACGAATATTCCTATAACGAACGGTTTTACCTATAAAATTGAGAATGCTATAACGAACGCAACTCCTACAACGAACGCGGATGAATAAGGACATGGGGGGCCAGGGGTTTGGGGGGGGCAGCACATATACACGGACTTTTAACATCCACGGGTATCTCTGTTACGTAACCCCCGCGTATGTTAAGGGCCGACTGTATAATTTTTTTATTTATTTGAGATTTTTGTTTTAGCTCATAAAATTCATAGAAATTACCCGGCCAGAATATAATTTACATTGCTGGAATTCTTATAAGATAGCGATTAATTTGAATATAAACAAGCTAAAATTTGCATTAGACATACAAATTTTAGATCTAATTTAAGAATTTTATTAGGGAGAGCAAAAATTTTATCTTTTGTGCAAAATATATGACGTTTATATTCAAATTATTCCCTGTTTTGCAAGGATTTCAGCAATACAAATTATATTATCCTAACTTTAGTCTGAGGTATTATTTATTTTTAAACCTGTAAACCTGTGGCGTACTGTATGTGGCCAGTTGTCAATTATCTTAGTATGGGCACACAAACGTACGTACATGTAGATATCTCACACTCAGGAATGAGGTAGAATAGAAACTCACAATGCACTTTTTGTATATATATTGTTGTATAGCACAGTGCTTAGGAGTGACTAGGTGGAGAAGCTTGCTCAGAGGTCCTGTAGGGCAAGGGGGTTTCTGAGGAAGCTGGGTGGTGTGGAGCTGTGAGAGGTGCTGCTGGTCCGGTAGCCGAGTGTAGAATGGTACCCTGGCCAGGCATGGCCGTATTTATACAATTTACGAGGATCAGGATTTGGGGTGAGCATAGCGAGAGGGCCAATCACGGCGGCTTAAGCGTAAGGTGTGAAACGCTCTGATCCTGAGCTGGAGGTTGAAGGTCAAGACTAGGTCGGCGATCGTACCCCTACGTCCACTGCATAGACCTAGTCGCTCGGCGTAGCTGGCTGTACGCTGATTGGCTGGTCGGCGCGAGGCCGGAGCTCAGTTAGAAGTTGTAGGGGAGAGGAGCCACTACAAACCTAGTCCTTTTCCCCAGGAAGGTGGGGGGGGTAGGGAGGGAGGGGTGACAATGACATGTTTGACAGTTGGCACCTGTGGTGTGAAGTATTTACTTAATTGTTAGTTTATGTCCTTTAAATTGAGTTTTTGTTTTTTGCTTATAAAATTTAATAGAAGTGACCGGGTTGAATTTAATTTGCATTGCTGGAATTCTTATAAGATAGTGATTAATTTGAATGCAAACAGAAGAGATCACTGAATTGGCTGAGTACCTCCTCAGCTTATCAGCTGATGTTCAAAACAAAATGTGATTTTCATAAGGATTTCGTTAATCAAATTTTTTTTTCGTTAACCGAATTGAAGATTCGTATGGAAGGTAATTCATTAACCAAAATTTCGTTAACTGAGGCATTCGATAACCGAGGGACCACTGTATTACAAATTCTTACTCATGGCTAGAGTAACTGGCCTTTGGGTCTTTCCGAATAGGGGGATACTGGATAAGAGATTCCATACCCATAGTGACGTTTTATGTTGTTTGTTTTTTCTTTCAAAAAGTTATTTAGGAGGCAAAACATTGTATGATCTTGTTAAATATATCATACTGTATATTTATTTCTGTGTGGTAAATATACATATTTGACAAAGTATGGTATGGTTTTTTATGTTGATTTTGTTTTACATTGGTAAGTAAAACTCTTAAGAGATATGAAGGTTTCCTTAGAGAGTGTTGTTAATTGATTGTTTAATTGTTCTCAGATGGTGAAGACATTACTTAAGGCAAGTAGACAGTACCTAACTTGGAAGGCCCACAACAATCCAAACTACAAGCCATGGATATATCCAGAGCAGATTAACTTACCCAGAATAGCCTTTAACCAGGTACAGTATTGTATTCATCATATAAAAGGTCACGAACATGATTTAGGAAAGTGTGCAATTTACTTAAGTTTAGACACAGCTTTCATTTCTTGTTGACACTGTTGCAGAGTGGATTAAAAATTTTGATAGGTAAGTGGAGTTAAGCTGAGTATGTGTGGTAAGGTAGGATGTATGGGTTTGTAATGCCCTAAACCCCCATCACGGGTACCGTATTTTACCTGTATAGTAAAACCTCGATAAATCTGACTTCAATAAATTGGAATTTGCTTTTTTCAGACTCTGAGTTGCTCTGGTCACCAAAAATACTAAAAAGAAATATATGTATATATATATATAAATATATATATATATATATATATATATATATATATATATATATATATATATATATATATATATATATATATATATATATATATATATATATATATATATATATATATATATATATATATATGAGAATTGTGGTGGAATTGCATAAAGAAGTGTTAAAGGAATCTTGTGGGAGAGAGGGGGAGGGAGCCACCCACCCAAGCTACCCACCCCCCTACCCCACTGACTGCCAGCTGCTCTCAGATAAACATTTGTCTTCCACATAAAATATACTCCTCCGCTTATTTGTTCTTATTTTTATCTTTATAGTACTGTACAGTTTACAGTTTTCTCTATTCATGAGACAAATTCTTTGGTTACTTACATATAACACTTTACAGTAAATAATAATCATCTCGGTGATAACCAGGGCCGGTATACACAAAACTTTTAAGTGCTAGCAAACAGTTGTTAAGGCTGACATTTTTCAGTTAAGCACTAATAGTACATACACAAAACTTTTAAGGGCCTTAATAGTACTGTTAAGTTAAAGGACCTCGTGAGCACTTTTAAGTCCCGTAATAGTCGTCTGTTAGTTGATACCAAGGCAAACCAACATCATCATCAGCAGCGGCAACGCATTTATTGGGAAAGGATAGATATATTTAATGAATATAGCGTGTTTAGATTAAATATAGTGTGAATGTATTAAATATAGTGTGAATATATTGTTTGTATTCCCGCTATATAGCAGAGATCTTCTTTCTTGACTTGGACAAAACTGAGAATCGGACAATACTGAGAATCAGTGTGTCTCACACTCTGCCACTGGCCTCACCACACCAGGAAAAGCAGCATTGACCCTCATGATGATTTCCAGCCCTGCCTTCTTTGGTTGTTTTTTTGTTAACCACCCATAACCTTTTTTTACATGAAAAATTATTTTTTTTGCAAGTTTTCTTACTTTTTAGAGGATTAAGATATTTATCTTTGGGGTAAGTTACTTTATTTAGTTCAGTTAGGAGGTTAGGATGTGGCCTGTTAGGTCAGGTTACCTAACCTAACTAAAAAAAAGTTAGGTTAGGTTACCTGACCTAACAGGCCACATCCTAACCTAACCAAAAGAGGTGATTTGCCCCAAAGATACATGTCAGAATCCTCTAAAACAGCAAGAAAACTTGCAAAAAAAAAAAAAAAAATTCATGTGAAAAAAGGTGATGGATGGTTAACGAAACGAGAGCGACTCTGCTTGTCACCATGGCATCAAATTGGGACTTCAAAATTTTATTTATTTTCACAAGATATAAATCGCAAATATCGCATGTATTTTTGGAAAGCACCGCTTAATTCAAGTATATTCTTTTGTTACTTGACGAGATCTACTAAATGGTAAGAAAAAAAATTCATAAAAAGGTGATGGGTTGATAACGAAAAATAACCCCCTGTTTTTGTCTTTATTATTCAGGTAAGCCTTCAAGTGACCAGTCAATATTAACTTTTTCTCTTCAATGGCATCCACCAATAATACATTCTGCTGTCCAATTGGGCTTCCTTTTCTTTCATGGGGTTGAGACTTCTATTTCCTCAGTAACATGTTTGTCTACAAGCAGCACGGCAAGGAAAAGCCGCTGATCACTATCCTTGGTTAATAAATCCTCCTTCAAACTACATAGTTAAGATTTTGTATTTTTTTTTTTTAATTATCAAAATGTGTATAAATATAAATATTGAAATTAATCTTCTTAATTTTATTGAGGTTATTCAGCCATAAGACCATTTAATATGATGAACTCCTGCTATCTTTAGCGCTGTTTAGCGGTACTTAACAAACAACTCTTTGTGCGGTAAAAGTTTGCTACTTAAGCTTTGTGTATAACTATTAAATTTTACTGCTAGCTAACAGTACTATTATGTCATTAGCATAAAAGTTTTTTGTTTACGGGCTCTGACCTTCATGTCTGATTCTCAACCCAGAGAGTAGTTTCATATATTTTTTTTTATTGTTGATATAATATTCTTTTCATAACCTTCTTATACACTTAAAGACCTTAGTTGTTAAAGTGCAGTAATAACATAACCACTGATTTTTTTTTTACAGTTTAGATAAGCAGTGTAATTTCCCCCCCACCGTGCCCTGCCCCATATACAGGGTATTTGCTTTTCTCAGACTTTTGCATTTTTTGGACCGGGGTCTGCCCCAATTAGTCTGATTTATTGAGGTTCTACTGTACTTGGCTTTTTATAATGTTTAATTTCTATGTTATACTGTATAGTATTACCTATATTATGTTTACTATTGTACCGTCCATCTTTTATTTCTTATTTTTCCGTCTATGTTTGTATGAATATTGTTTATTACTTTTTTCTGGTTCCTTTCCTAAAATATTTGTTTGTGCAGTGAAGTTTTCTATTTTCATAAAAACATCTCCCTCCAATTATTGGCACAGAATGTTCAGTCACTTGCACACTTACAAACACACTATTATCATTATTATAACAGCCACTCCCAATCAATCAGTTAAGAGTCCCTTCCTCATATCTGAGTGTTGGCGACCACAGGCCTCCACTCTAAATGTTTTCAGGCTAGTTTTAACATTCCTATAAGATTTTGTATCTCTATGGGGGCCCAGTTTTTAATTTCATTCATTTGTCCCAGTCTCTGCTGTCCCCTGGTACTCCTACCCTCAACTTTGGGACTTGGGGGTATTATCTCTTAACTTGTCAGGTTATACAGTACAGTACTAAATTACTTGATTCTAGTTCAGTTATAAATATAATATCAGGATTTGACCTTTTTTTATTTAGTCTCTCTTTTTTCTGTAGTTGGTTTAAGTATTTCTGTAAATAAAGTAAGTTGTAATTCTTCTGACATTTCTTATGACAGTGCACCAAGAGTCCGGCTGATGACATAGTAGACATTGTCGATGAGTCTCAAGTGGACGAGAAATCTTTAGCCCACCTCAGCAATGATGACTTCTAAAGGACAAAGAATTCATTCTCTGGGTTCACATTGTGATATTATAGGAAATATTGATCTTATACCAGCAGTAATAGTGCAACTTTGATGTTAAGAATGAATATACAGTATAGTACCTGTATACAAGTAATGTACTATATCATAAGGCAAAAGATATCAGCTACAGATATATGATATAAATCTTATATTATTACTTGATATCATCTCAGAGAACAATCTTGTTAAAGAATCTTGCATGAGTTTTTGTGTTATTTCTCTCGTTTTAATGTTAACTACTGTACATTTCTCATTAACTGTAGAATGGAAAAAAATATGAATGTCAAATAAAGTACAGACTGCAATTTTGAATGTACTGAATTGTAGGTAAATAACATACAGTATATATATATATATATATATATATATATATATATATATATATATATATATATATATATATATATATATATATATATATATATATATATATATATATATATATATATATATATATATACACACACACACACACACACACACACACACAGTGATCCCTCGGTTAACGAGATTTTGGTTAACGAGTTACCTTCCATAAGATTCTTAACTTCGGTTAACAAGCAATCCCTCGATTAACGAGTTTTTTACGAGCCGACCTCTACATGTTTTCGCTTGCATTTGGCGGTCCACCAGCTGTAGTATTAGTCCGCCAATACAGTAATCGGTTTTAGGGCTTAAATTCCTTACTATTTTAGTAAATATCAAGAAGTTTATACCTGTACTATTCAATAATTTTAAAAGTTTAATATTAAATTTTTTAGTCATTTTAACAATTATTGAACATAATTGAAGGTATAGAACCTAGTTTCATATGCGCCATCCAGCCTGGCAACACACCAAACAGGCGCCAGTCTCTGTCTTTTCAGTGGAAGTAACATCTTGCTTGAGATTCTCTTCAACTAAATGCTTTTTTTCTGTGTTTCCAAGCAAATTATTGGTCATTTTGAAATTTATTTTACACATTGACAATATATAATGCAGTGCAGTGTTGATTTAAAGAAAATAATCTTGAATTACACCAAGAGAACTAAAATTTTATGGGTGAAATGGCGCCATGGGGTGACTTCTCTTCCACCCCAATGCCTTCTCTTCTTCCTTCTCCTCCACCCCCACTCTAATTCCCATCATCATCATCATCCAGGAGCCTTCTACATACACACCTCAAAGTAAGTGTATTTTTCTACCATTTTTGTTGAATTTAGGCAATTTTCGGTGAGTTGGAACCAATTACCCAAAAACCCATTGAAACAATGGTTTCGGTTAATGAACAACCTTCTAGAACGGATTGTGCTCATTAACCGAGGGACCACTGTATGTATGTATGTATGTATATATATATATATATATATATATATATATATATATATATATATATATATATATATATATATATATATATATATATATATATATATATATATATATATATATATACATACATACATATATACAGTGGTCCCTCGGTTAACGAACGGCTCGATTAAAAAAATTTCGGTTAACGAATTACCTCCCATAAGGATCTTCAATTCGGTTAACGAACAAAACTTCGATTAACGCAATCCTTACGACAAACACTTTTTTTGTGAGCATCAGCTGATCAGCTAGTCCGCCAATTCAGTAATCTGTCCTCTTTAATATTTTTGCATTTTTTATATTAAAATTATTAGTCATTTTAAAATTTAGTTAACATATTGATAATATATGCAGTACAGGGAAGTAGGTTTTTGTGCGCCCATCAGTCGCTTGATGCACCTGCCAGGCGTCAGTTTGGCTTTGTTTACAGTGGAGTGAACATCGATTTTGTTGGTGTCTTGAATATTTTGCATTTTTACATCACAATTATTGGTCATTCTGAAATTTAGTTAACATATTGATAATATATAGCGCGGTGCAGTGTTAATTTAAATAAAATAATCTTGAATTACACGTAGTGAACTTAAAATTTTATTGGTGAAATTACTGCATCAAGCATGGGTCCCCTGAAAGGTGATTTCTCCTCCACCCACACTTCCTTCTCTTCTCCCTTCTCCTTCACCTCCACTTCTAATTCCCACCATCATTATCATCAACCAGGAACCTTTTACATACACACCTCAAAGTAAGTGTTTTTTACTGCATTTTTTTTTTACTTTGTATGTACTTTTCTGTGAGCTGGAACCAATTACCCAATATCCCATTGAAACAATGGATTTGGTTAACAAAATTTTCGGTTAATGAACGACTCTGGAACGAATTGTGTTCGTTAACCGAGGGACCACTGTATATATAAAACACAGAGGCATGCTTCTTTCAATATAACAAGGGTCCCTGTATAAACCACAAGTTTTTATGAAATCTGATATGTACTGTATTAGTATAAATCTGATTGATTTTTTTAATGGTTTTATTGTAATTAATTGTCTTTTGACATACAGTATTAAGTAATGCATATATAGTACCATATACAGTAAAAGTCCAAAAATCCGGATGCCAGAAATCCGGACCACCTGAGAATCCGGACTTTTCGAAAACTTTTTTTTTTTTTTAGCTGGCTTTTGTGTGTATGTGGGCAGTCGTGAGCGCCACAGCGACAACAAGCGACCACGCTGTCGCCACTTTAAAACGAGCAATCAAACTGTGACAACGTACTGTATGTAATTTTGAGTCCTACCCTTTCCATTTACAGAGTACTGTACAAGCCCATAATAATGGCTCCTAAAGTAGATAAACTTCGTTGTGTGAAGAGAAAGAAGAACACGTTGAAATTGAGTGACAAACTTGAAATAATTAAGAAACTAGAACGCGGTGTGAGCAATACTGTTCTAATGGAAACATACGACATTGGAAAGTCTACAATTTATGATATAAAAAAGGCAAAGAATAAAATTCTAAAATTCACAGCTTTTTCTTTAAAACTGCTCGTTTTGATAAATGAAGCATGCTATATTTGCTAATGAATAAACTGTCAAAATGTACCTGTTCATCTCTTCTTTATTCCTCCTTAAATTTGAATTTTAAAAGTACTGATTGAGAATCCGGAAAATCAGAAAATCCGGACCGACCCAATCCCCAAGCAGTCAGGATTTTTGGACTTCTACTATATATTAAATTTAATGTTATATGGGAAGTCGTTTTTATTTATTGTATAAATTTACATTAATTATGCTTCTCATTTTTACTATGCCAATTGTTCCTTCCATTAATACAGTATATGTGTTGAGAAGAATTTCTGTATGCTTGTCAGCAATAATTCAAATATGATTAGAGAAATTTCTGTATGTAACTTTGTTGCTGTTTGTATACTGTACTGTATTGCTAATGCCCAGAGTGCAATTAATGACAAGCGTTTGTGATAGACATAAGAATATTTGTAGGAAGAATGGTTGATGGTGACAGTTGATGCATCACTAAATCTGAGTGATCACATTGCTCAAAATGGCCAGTTATCTATTTTTACTTTTCAGTGTTCTCAGCCCAGAAGTTTGAAGAACATTGTGGTCATATTATACCCAACCTCCGCTTCACCCTCCCACTTGGGCAAAGTTTTACATCAAATTGTCTTGTCTAATTCTTGTCTTGGAAATAATGCTTTTAGAAATACTGTATGCATGTCATTAATTTTTTTATACATTGCTTGAAAATTCCACAAATTTAAAATAATTTCACAAAATGTTATTAGAAATGTAAACAAAAAATGAACTTTGCATTTCTTCTGACCATTTTCGTTGATTGACTGATTCTGAATTTACTTACATTTTAAATACTGTACAGTAGATACATAAGTATTGTAAATTTATTTTATGTACTGTACTTATTTTGAATTGCAAACAAGAAAGAAACACAACAAATTTAGATCGATAACTAGGAACTTAATAATTCTACAAGACACAAGGAAAGTTCAAAATGCAGTACTGTACTGTACAGTATTTATTGAAACCCATGAATGAGACTATATGTAGTTAATACAACCCTGAATAGTATTTGAGTTACTTGTGTACAGTGAACCCTCACTTTACGCGGTCAATTGAACCCACGGCGGCCCGCATAAAGTGAGAAACGTGTAAAGTGAACAACATCAAATATGGGATTACAGTGAACCCTCACTTTACGCGGTTAATTCAACCCACGGCGGCCCGCGTAAAGTGAACAACATAACATATGGGATTAATTGAAATAGAGACCGGGCCGACCCCCAAACTCCTCTTTTTCCCGACACAATACATACGTTTTACTAAAAATAACATCTTAACTTTATGATGGTATGCACCCACACATAATATAGAAGGGAACAGTCAATAAGAGGAGAATAAACTGAAGGTTAGGTTAGAAAAAAACAAGGTTGGGGTTAACACTTACGTTAGTAGAAGAGATGGGTCGGCGTAGGGGAATGGAGGCTGGTTCCGAGGCAGAGGGCAGACTACTGGCCCTCAGGTGAGTCTTCATTGGTGTCATCCACACTTACTAGTGCCTCCCTGACAAATCCCTCAAAGTCATCATCACTGTCTCTGCCTCTGTTACTATCACTTACTATGATCTTATATTTAATTTCGTAGCTTAAGGAACGTCGTGTCTTCTTTGGCTTAGGGCGGCTGGGTCCAGGTAATGCAAGGTTTCTTTGTGGTGGTGGTGGTGGTCTGGTGGAAGCCATTCTTATGGAACAATGGTTACCAATATACACGGTGTACTCTGGAGGGGTGTAACTGACGCGGTAGGTCGAGGGGCTTGAACGCTCCCACTGCGGGGCACGTCATAGTACTACATTAAACCAATCACAGCTAGCAGGGAGGGAGGTAAGGATGCTTTGCCCAATCACAGTCCACTACATCATATGATGTCACCGATAACGCAACAAAGACATACACTGCGCAACCTACTCGCGCCGCTTACACAACATGGCGGATGGCGGGAGGTTTGGATCCAAAAATGGCGCGGCGCGAGAGGACCGCTCTCCGCGTAAAGGGGTACACACACCGCGGAAAGCGAGCATTCTGGTTTCGGCAGGGTAACGCGTAAACGTGGAAACGCGTAAAGTGGGACTGCGTAAAGCGAGGGTTGACTGTAATTGAAATAGAGACCCGGCCAACCCCCCCAAACTCCACTTTTTCAGACACAATACCTACGTTGTAGTAAAAATAACTTCTTAATTTTATGGTGGTATACCCACACAATTAATAATTAAGAGAAATATCAATAATATTAGGTTTTTTAACACTTACATTAGTAGAAAAGATGGCTGGGCACACGGTGATGGGGGGTTGGTTCCGAGGCAGAGGGCAGATTATTGGCCCTCACTTGTATCAATTGTATCACTATCCACCACAGAGGCTTGCAGGGCCTCTTTGTCAAACCCCTCAAAGTCCATATAAGTCCATAT